TTGTTGTTGTTGTTGTTCAACCTTTTGCTTCTTGTGTATCTCTGTCTTTGCCTTCTTTGCTTCTGCTTCTCCTTCGTTTGTTTCTGTTGCTTGTCTTGTTGTTGGTGGTTGACTGCTTGTGCTTGTCTCCTCTTTTGTTGCTTGCCCTGCCTGGGCTTGTACCTGTGGTTGTACTGGTGTTGGTGGTAGTATGAACGCTGGCTGGAACCCAATTGGTGGTGTAGGATTCCACGGTGTGCCAGTGATCGTGTCCAACAGTTGTGCATCGTACCTGTTTGTACCTGCTAGTCTTCTGATTGTACGTGAACGTACAATTCTGCCTGCGATGCCAATGAAGGACTCTCCGGTGGATGTACATTTGCCCAACCAAATGCCTTTGTAAAACCTGGGCTCAAGTTTTGGTCTTTGTTTGAGGGACTGTACCATGTACATTACTGTTTCTCCAAACTCGCATAGGGCAGCGTTGTGTGTTCTTCCCCATCTTTTGTGGTAGCTTGTGTAGCCATCTGCTTTGATGAGGAATCTGTTGATCAGGTATGCTGAGTGTCGTACTGCCCAAGCCATGATTGGATGTGTGATTGGCATTCTGTAGTTGTAGTTTTGTATGATTTGTTCTCTGAGTGTTCTGATGTGGCCAGCCAATGTACGATGGAATCGTTCAATGCTGCCACTGCTTTGTGAGCTGTATGCTGGTGCAAAACGCACTGTCATGTTGCCTGTTGCCTTGGCTGTAGCTCTAAGGAGCGCCATCAGGTATTCCTCTTGGTCACTTTGTAGAATACCTTCTGTTCTGCCACATTCCAAAATGAATGCTTGTAAGGATGTTTGAGCGTATGCAAACTGGCTCTTTTTGTCTGTAAGCATTGTTGCCATTGCCATGCCGGTTTGTACGTCGATTGCTGTCAAGATTGGAACTGGCAATTTGTCGTTGTAACCTCTGATGTAGGTGAAGTCAACTTGTATGACTGGCTGTCTTGATGTTTGCTGTTGGTGGCTTGTTTGTCTGCCACGAGACTGTATGCACACAGGACACCAATTCCTGTATGGCATGTGTGTGAGGTTGTGTTGTTGTATCTCTTGCGGTGTTGGCTGTACTGGCTGTGCCATTGCTTTTGCTTTGTTTGCGCTCTGCTGTTCATCCTCTTCTTCTGTTGGCATCTCTTGCCTGTATTCTCTCTTCTCCTCAAAGGTTGTGGATCCTGTCCACTCTTGCTGTCTTGTCGGCTGTGGTTCTGTTGTCCAGTTGTCTTCAATTCTTCTAATGTTGTTCTCCTCGTATATGTGGGTTGCCCTGTATGGAAGTAGATTGTCGATGTCTGGTCCATTGTCTTCAGGTGTTGGTGTGTAGAACTCTTTTCTTGGCTTCACGTGTACTCTCTTCCAGAATCTTCCTTCTTTGATCCAGTAGTCTGTTGTACCATCCATCTTCATCGGTGTTGGAAGTGTATCTTCCTTCTCCGGTTGCTTGTACGTGTGTCTGTACCTAATCTCCTTTCCTTCATCTGTTCTTTTCTGAACTTGCTTTTCTTCTGTTGTGCTTTGTTTCTGTTGTCCTGTCTTTCCTTTGTTGATCAGGACTCTGAACCATGTTTCTCCTTGCCAATTTGTTCCTGTAACTTCTCTGTTTGCTTCTTGCTTTGTAAGTGTCTTGAACTTGTCTTCAAGCACTGACTGTGTACCATCCTTGTTGTGTATGATTGTTTTCCTGTAATCGTCCAGTCTTTCAAATTGTACTGGACATGCTGATTGGTTGCCGTATCCTGGTGTGAACAATGCCTTTCTTCCTCTCTTGTGTACCCTGACCAAGTATCCTTGTTCGTTGTACTTCCAGAAGTCGTTGTTGCCTCCTTGCTGAGGTCGTGGTCCTGTTGCTGTAAGTGTGTGTGTTGGGGCAATCATTGCCACTTGTCCTTGTGGAGTGTTTTGTATCACCAGTTTTGTTCCTTCTTCCAGTGGTGCTGTTTCCAGGTGGACGTAGAGTAGTCTGTCTTTACTTGTAAGTGGTGCCTGAAACACATCTCCTTTCTGTAGTGTAGACTCTGTACCTCTGAGGTTGAGTTCGAAACCTTGTTCCAGGAGTCTTGTAACACTGACGATGGGGTGTCGTATGCCATCTATGACGTAGAATGGCATCACCAAGTGTTGTCCTTGTATGTTCTTGAAGCGCACCCATCTGTAGCCAAGAACCCAAAGGGGCTCATCTGTAACTGAGCGAAGTGGTGGTGTTTGTTCCTCTGTAAGAGGCATCAGTGGAAAGTCTGTACCAAAGGTTGGTGGACAGACGTGTACTGCTGCGCCACTGTCGATCATGAGCTCGACTGTCTTGTAGGTGTTGAGGCCTGTGGTTGTGACTGAGGCAATTGTAGTTGTTTCAAACTCTACTGTGGAAACTACCTGCGCTGGTGCTGTAGGCATCTGTGGTGGCTGTTGTTCCTGGTTGTATGCCGCTTGCTGTTGCTGGTCATATTGCCACTGTTGGTGATCTGGGAACCATTGTTCCTCGTAGTGCCACTGTTCTTGTTCTGTCCATGGTTGTTGGTAGTATGACTGTTGTTGGTTGTACTGGTCTGTGCCTTCATCCATGTCTGTGACGTTGTAGACTGCCACTCTGCAGTCCCTTGCATAGTGGCCCTGTTGACCACATTTGTAACATGTTCCTTTGCCTTTGTTCATTGTTGTACCTTGCCACTGTGATGGTCCTTTTCCTTTGCTCTTTCCTTTGTGCTGCATTGCTCCCTTGTAGGAGTTGCCATATCCAACTGCTGTTGGACCTTTTCCTTTGTATCCTTGTTGACTGTATCCTGTATATCCTTTTCCTTTGTTGTGCCATTGTGTCTTTCCTTTTCCTTTGTTGTACTTTCCTTTTCCTTTACCATTGTACTTTCCTTTTCCTTTGTACGTAGCTCCTATGTCCATGGGCTGTGTCTCATTTGTGCTGCTGTTCATTGCCTGTTGTTGTGCCTGCATCCTGGAGAAAGCTGTTGTAGCCCTGTGATACTCAAGAATGAGTTCTCGAATGTCTGCATACCGTTGTATGGCTCCTGCTCTTAGTTGAAGGTGTTGTTGTAATGGTCCTTTGGTCTCGTTGAGTAGTACTGCAATTTTGATGTTGTCTGGTATTGGTGCTTGGTTGTCTCTTTCGTACCTTGCTATCTCAAATTCCCATGTTGTAAAGGACTCCTCAAACTTGTTCTCGTTGAACTGTGGCTTCAAAAGCTTTGTAAGGTACCCGACGCTGCGTGTACCCAGTGGGATGGAAAAGCGTTTGTGTAGTTGCCTCCAAGTTTCAAGGCCAACTGCTTGCAGTGTATGTTGCCTGCAGAGGACAGCTGCTTGTCCTTGGCACACGTTGATGAGGATGTAGTGTAGTTCTTTGCTGAGTTGTATCCATTGTTGTGCTTCTGTTCTGTCTCTGGCACCGTCTGCCAGGAGTTCATCTGTAACTGGTTGGTCAAAGGTTTCTGCTATGTGTAGGAGTCTTGGGAATGCTGAGTTCTGTAGCCCCAAGTAGGCCACAAACTTGTGTTTCCATTCTTCGAATGTTGCATAGTCTCCTGTAAACTGTGGTGGTGGTAGTTTGTACCTGTGTAGCGTGTTGAGGTCTCCTCCAGTTGTAGCTGCGGCCATGTTTGTTCTCCTATGTTCTCTCTCTTCTCTGCTGTAGCTTTGTTGCCAATGTGTATTGGAGCTCACCCTGTCCTGTATCGTCCAGGGATCACTGCTCCGCTACCATGTTGAAATCAAGTGTACAACTTCCCTGTCTGTACTCTCAGCAGCTGTAGCCCACGCGCTGTACTTTTCACTGTAGCGCTCGAGTAACGCTAGCTCAAGGGCCCTGTATGGAGCCCAAATGTATCGTACCATGACATGTACTCAGAGTAGACTAACATGTTGTATGAGCAACTGTATAGCTCATCATGTGCAGGTGTATTCTTAACTGATGATGATGATGATGATGATGATGATGTTGGCTATTATTAATTAGTGATGAATGGTGGATGATGGATGATAGTGCTTCATTTGATGCTGGTGTTTCAGCATGGATCAGCTGTATCTTCTGGCTTTCTACATTGAGCAACCGTCAAAACTCGCGGATACTAAACATGTATTGGCTGGACATTGGTTTTCAGAAAATGCAAAAAACTTAGCGATGGGACTTTTCCAATAGCGATGCCCCATTTGAATTCAATAGTCCATAATGACATTTCATGAGCGTTGATATCGTCAAGTGCAGTGCTCACATTGATGGTAGACTTGGGCTCAGGGTTGAAAGAAAAGGAAAGGAAAAGGAAAGAAAAAGAAAAGGAAAAGGACAGGAAAAGAAATAGGAACAGGAAAGGAAAAGGAAAAGGAAACGGAAAGGAAAAGGAAAGAGAAAGGAAAAGGAAACAAGGAAAGGAAAAGGAAACAGGAAAAGGACTGGGAAAGAAAAACGAACACAAGGAAAAGGACAGTTAAAAAGGAAAACAACAACAACAACAACAACTACTACTACTACTATACTACTACTACTACTACTACTACTACTACTACTACTACTACTACTACGATTATTGATATTATTGGAATTCCTGCTACTATCACCAGGATTGTGTTAGTAGCCTTGCTAATATCTCTTGTACTTCCAATTTCTTTGTATTACTTTTATTATATTTTATTATTACTAGCGCTTTTTGCACTTCTAGTACTCCCAATATCTTGGTATGACTAGTACTACAAATACACTATCATATCTACTTTAGCTGCGTTTAGGCTTAGCAATACCTCCTGTAAATCAATATGGCACAATGGTAAAATTGCTACGAAACTGTGGTTAGCGATGGGAGTTTTGACAACCGCACACATGTTATGACGGGACCCAAGTCTCACCTTCGATAAAGTTTGAGACGTTTTGCCAAGTTGCCGAGACCAAGGCAACAATCTGTAAACACATCCCCAGTGATATTTGTTGATTTGACATGACATGACTGCTTACTGGTGTTCGCAGTGAAAAAACTGAGGTGACCAGCGGTGTCAGAAGGAATCAGCAACTCAGATGCATGAGTTCTTGATGTTAATCACTGGCTAGCCCATGTTAAGGTCCCAAGTTAGCCTTTGAGACCTTGAGACCTTCTCTTGATCTCCAGTTATCAGCTGCAGGGCCGTATCATGTTCATATTTTGTGCATGTTGTGATGGCGCCATGCGATGCGAATGTGTCGATCAAGGAACCAGGGGAGACAAAAGACGGCCAACAACCTCTTCATCGATGCGGACTGCCGGGGGTAACTCTCAGTAAGGGCAAAGTTGAACTTGGAAATGCACGCAGTTTGTTCGATACCAGCTTTGTATATAGGTGATCTACTGAGCATCTTACTACAAACCTGGTTTTGCACAAAAAAAACTAAAACACTTAAACAATGGCAGTCCATGGCAGTCCCCTAGATTGAATATGATTGAATTGTGTCCCCTAGGGGTGCAGGATGTCCGACCTACCTCTATCGATTTGTCATATTTACATCGATTAACATCGTTTCCCGTGAGGAAGACATGAAGGCCAAAGTAAGAGCTGCCATTGGACAGCCCGAGTACAATGCAACCTGACTTGGTCCATCTTGGTCCACTGGATCGACGGGGAAACCGCGGTTGATCCCCAAACGGAGCTTCGCTTCACGTTTTCCCAAGTGTGGAATGCCAGATATGTTAGCAGTGGCCACAACACCGCGAGCAACGTGAGTGCGAGACCACCTTTTTAGTATGACATCAGGTCTCGCAATGATATAATGATATATGACATGATATATAACATGATTGACATGATTTGACATTTGTGCCAGTTTGGTCCAAAAGTGTCAATGATGCCATATTAGATGCCATACATGGCAGTTGCAGTGTTGTTTTTTACGGCCACGACCACAGCTCAGGTGATCGACTTCTATAAGACCAGTGGCCGTTGTCAACAACTGGCACGAAAGAAGTCCTTCGAAAATATCACCCTTGGAGTTATCATGTTCAATGCAGCAGCTTGCCTTGGAGTAATCCTCCATTGAGAGCTACGCGAGATGAACCACTCAGCGGTTTCTGTCAGAAGATTGTCTCAGGATGCAGGAAAAACTGAACAAGACAAGCAGCATAAAACATTCCGAAAAAGTCATTGACTGCTGCCACTGATGTTTTCTATACCGACCAATACCGACCTAACGGACCTGAGATCTGGCTTGCCATCGATACAGACTTCAACAAGCCCTCAGAGGGTGCGACGGATCCAGTGCCTTGGATCCCATCAACTTACATCAACTTGCATCAACTTAGCATTCATCCAAGGATTCATCCAAGGATCATTCAGATTTCCAAATTCTTTTGATCAAGCAGTCTCTGCTGTCATGTTTTGGGTTGTTTACTTCCTCTTGAGGTACTTTGAGATTATGTGTGATATTTTGTGATTATTCATAGCGCAATTCTGTTGACTGTCTGTTTGACAGGTCTTTATCGTTGCCGAACATGTCTTTTGCACCTACTTCTTCTTGGAATGGTGGATTCGCTTTGGGGCCTTTGAAAGTAAGCGTTCCCTGGCAGCAAGTTCCAAAATCAGAGCTTTGATCACTTCAGACCCAACTGATGATCAGTGGTGATTTCCTACCCTCGGACATCCTCAGATTATGTCCAACATGGTTGCCATATGTTGCCATACATTCCCAACATCCCCATTTGCATTTGGGAATTCCAGTAATTCGAGGCAACTGTCTCCGAGACTTTTGGTTGCTCTTTGATGGTTTCCTGATGTTCGTCACCGTCTTTGAGCCCGGGATCCCAGATCCCAGATGATCCCAGAGCTCCAACGGAGATCGAAGACTTCCGATTTCGAAGGACTTGGCTCATGCAGCTGTTCCTGCTGGCTGTTTGAGGCTCAGAATCTGACCTTAGAGCCTTAGATTCCGAAATCTTAGGAGAAATTCTAAGAAATTTGGAGATCTTAATTTTGGGAGAAATTTGATTTGATTTGGTTGTCCATGTTGTCCGGGGCTGTAAAGTTGGGCTCACTGACTTCATCAAAATGAACCAAGGCGGGCACAACGGATGGCGGAAGGCCAAAATGGGGGCGTTGTTTCGATCAACACCTGGATGTCCATTGGATGTCGTGTGCTCCGTGTGCTCCGTGGACTCCGTGGCAGGTCGGACCACACCGGCATGATCCGGCTGGTGCGCCTGTTGCGGATCGTGCGCATTGCACGAATTGCCAGGCCGAAAGTTGAAACAGTAACATCTCGTAGCATCTGGTAACAACTGGTAACAACTGGTGAAATCGGAAAGATTGATTACGGAGTGAGGTCAGTCTTTGTGAGTCTTTGACAGGGTGCTGCACCATGTGCCTGAATTGCTGATCCTGGTGAGAGCCATGGTGTGGATTCCAAGTGCTTCAGTTGTTCCAGGCTCACATTGGTTCACCTCGCAGAGCAGGAAAGTGTTGGCAGATAAAGATAATCCCATCCTTCGAACATGAAACACTCACCAGCCATGGTTTCGTCATGTTTAGCAGGGGATTTACACTGTTTTGGGACCATTTTGAGGGTGTTTGATGTTAGGGTCCAAATTTGACATCCTGAGAACAGTCGCAGGTTGTGGCAATGCGTGCCGTATTTTTCTCAGTGATTCTCTTGGTCCTGGTGCCGGGATCTGAGAACGCCCAGAACGCCATAGAACGCCATAGAACGCCAAACAAAATATGTGGTCGATGATCTGATCATTTCACTTCAAAAGACATGTAAAAACATCAGAAAACCCTAGTGACATGATAATGTTTATCATTTATCATGTTTTTTTTAATATATAGGTTGTCATGTTTTACACTTTTTTTGATCATATAATATCGTATGGATTTCGAGTTTGGTGTCCCACCATCCAACCTCACTGCTTGGTGAAGCTGATAGCTGAAGGCTCTACGTCTTTGGCATCGCCTTTACGCAACTTGCACGAGACAATCCCACAGCAGAGGTTCAGCACCTGGTCTAGTTGTGAACCAAGGACATTCCGATAGAAACTGTGGGAAACTGCTGGGAAACAACACCATACTTTAAGAAACATGTCTGAAACTATGACACCTGAAGTGTTTACAACTTTGCAGCTTCAGACTGTTGACTTGATGAAGATTTTGATTCTGTTCAGCCCCGTGGCCCCGTGTGACCTGGGGCTGACAGGTGCATTTTGCCAACATTTCCGACTCGATGACAACGCTTCTGTTGAACGGAATCTTCTTGGAGACTTGGGAAGAACTGTGGGTCAAGTTGTGCATGGACAATGGATAGAGTCACTCAACAAGCAGCATTCTTGTGAGGACAGTGTCTCAGATGTGGTGAGGGAAATTGGAAAAGACAACCTGCTGCTTTCCTCTTTGTTCATCGGGTCGGGAGTCTCAGCATGCAGCAGCGCAGCATGTCTCAGCCTTTCCCAGGCTCTGATTTCACACTTCACCGAGTTTCAGTGGATCTCACCAAGACTGCACTGAAGTAAGCGAGATACGTACATTGATCTTCATTGATCATTGATCCAATCGTTGAACTATGTTGAACTATGTTGAACTCTTGACCTCTCAATACCTCTCATACTTTGTTGGCTCTTATTGTTGGCTCTTATACCTCGGACATCCTCGGACTTTGTTGGAGCCAGGTTCATTCTCGTGGCAACGCTGACTGTGATGAACATGTTGGTGACCAGCTCAGGTTTGCCAGGCAATCTCAGTGTGGTACTCTCAACGGAGGTCAAAGCTGTTAAAGTTGAGAATTTTAAGCAATCCATTGAGTTTGTATCTTGATACAACCTTAAATATGATAGTAAGACTCTTACAGTAAGACATGACGTAATATATCAACAAGTGACAAGATGACAAGATGAATAACTACATATAACTACATATTACTAGTAATATTACTACATGTTTAGCACCCGATCTTGGTACACCTGACACCTGGGGACGGGTTTTTCTTTGCGCAATTGCTCAAGGTCGGCATCTTGGTGGAGGTGATCAGCGTCATTGCATCCGTGGAGAAGGAGTCAGAAATCCAGTGGATCCAGTGGATTTGTTGATTAATTCACATTGGTATACATTAGATTATCTTAGTATATACATTGTAAGATATTAGAAGATATTATAAGTTTACAAAAAAAATTAATGATATTAATGTACAGTAGGCCCAGTAGGCCTGATGCAGATCTGAAGTTTGCCTGTTTGTGATGACGAGGGCATGATTTAGGGCATGATTTAGGGCATGATTGGTGGCTTTGCGCAGGAGCAGTTGCTGGTGAGCAAAGTGCAAAGTAAATTGGAAGAGGTCATGGATTTGGTTTCCCTGCCCAGGCCTCAATGCACTCAATGCGTTGCCGTTTGCAGCATCAAATCCTGGAAAACCTGCAAAACCCACGATTGGATCGCCTGAGGTCGCCTGAAAATGATTTGACCCAGTGGGCCACTGGATTGCATCAAGCATCACAAAAAACATGAACGTCAAGGGTTACCAGACGTTGCTGGGTTACATGCTTACTATGCCACTGTTTTACATTGTTTTACTGTGAAACGTAACGTGACATGTGATGATCATGTGATGATCATGTGATGAGTTTTGGATTGAGCTGATTCATCCAGCAGCGGCTCCAATGCGGACGATCTTAGGAGTTTGTGAAACTCATCCAGCAACCAGAAGCAGCTCGAGTGCTACAAGATGTGGGTGTGGATGTGGTCTCTCGCCGCAAGCAATGAGCTGAACTTCAAATGATTTTGTATGATTTTGTGAATCTGTGTGATGTATCTTCTCCATGGTAGCCAGCAGCAAAGTGCGAAAAAACCGAGAATATTTTAGCATATGTTCCTCAATCCTCTCCTACTTTTGATTGCAGATACTGCGTACATTATACTCTACTGAACTATATACTCTTTTGTTTATCTTGCGCGTTTGAAAATATGAACGGACGAAGAGTGAAGGTTACCAACATGCAGCCCCAAGCTCCTAGGTTGCCAACATACAGCCCCAAGCTCCGTCCAACATGCCCCATAAGAGCTGTAGGTTGCCAACATACAGCCCCAAGTAGGTTGCCAACATACAGCCCCAAGCTCCGTCCAACATGCCCCATAAGAGCTGTAGGTTGCCAACATACAGCCCCAAGCTCCGTCCAACATGCCCCATAAGAGCTGTAGGTTGCCAACATACAGCCCCAAACTCTGTCCAACATGCCCCATAAGAGCTGTAGGTTGCCAACATACAGCCCCAAGCTCCGTCCAACATGCCCCATAAGAGCTGTAGGTTGCCAACATACAGCCCCAAGCTCCGTCCACCATCCCCCATAAGAGCTGTAGGTTGCCAACATACAGCCCCAAGCTCGGTCCACCATGCCCCAAAAGAGCTGTTGCCAACATACAGCCCCAAGCTCCGTCCAACATGCCCCATAAGAGCTGTAGGTTGCCAACATACAGCCCCAAGCTCGGTCCACCATGCCCCAAAAGAGCTGTAGGTTGCCAACATACAGCCCCAAGCTCCGTCCAACATGCCCCATAAGGGCTGTAGGTCGCCAGCATACACCCCCAAGCTCCGTCCAAGCCCCATAAGACCTGCAGGTTGCCAACATACAGCCCCAAGCTCCGTCCAACATGCCCCATAAGACCTGTAGGTTGCTGCCAACATACAGCCCCAAGCTCCATCCAACATGCCCCATAAGAGCTGTAGGTAGGTTGCCAACATACAGCCCCAAGCTCCGTCCAACATGCCCCAAAAGACCCTGTAGGTTACCAACATACAGCCCCAAGCTCCGTCCAACATGCCCCATAAGAGCTGTAGGTTGCCAACATACAGCCCCAAGCTCTGTCCAACATGCCCCAAAAGACCTGTAGGTTGCCAACATACAGCCCCATAAGAGCTGTAGGTTGCCAACATACAGCCCCAAAACTCCGTCCAACATGCCCCATAAGAGCTGTAGGTTGCCAACATACAGCCCCAAACTCCGTCCAACATGCCCCAACATACAGCCCCAAGCTCTGTCCAACATGCCCCATAAGAGCTGTAGGTTGCCAACATACAGCCCCAAACTCCGTCCAACATGCCCCATAAGAGCTGTAGGTTGCCAACATACAGCCCCAAGCTCAGTCCAACATGCCCCATAAGAGCTGTAGGTTGCCAACATACAGCCCCAAGCTCTGTCCAACATTCCCCATAAGAGCTGTAGGTTGCCAACATACAGCCTCAAGCTCCGTTCAACATGCCCCATAAGAGCTGTAGGTTGCCAACATACAGCCCCAAACTCCGTCCAACATGCCCCATAAGAGCTGTAGGTTGCCAACATACAGCCCCAAAACTCCGTCCAACATGCCCCATAAGAGCTGTAGGTTGCCAACATACAGCCCCAAACTCCGTCCAACATGCCCCATAAGAGCTGTAGGTTGCCAACATACAGCCCCAAACTCCGTCCAACATGCCCCATAAGAGCTGTAGGTTGCCAACATACAGCCCCAAACTCCGTCCAACATGCCCCATAAGAGCTGTAGGTTGCCAACATACAGCCAAGCTCCGTCCAACATGCCCCATAAGAGCTGTAGGTTGCCAACATACAGCCCCAAGCTCTGTCCAACATGCCCCATAAGACCTGTAGGTTGCCAACATACAGCCCCAAACTCCGTCCAACATGCCCCATAAGAGCTGTAGGTTGCCAACATACAGCCCCAAGCTCTGTCCAACATGCCCCATAAGACCTGTAGGTTGCTGCCAACATACAGCCCCAAGCTCCATCCAACATGCCTGTAGGTTGCCAACATACAGCCCCAAGCTCTGTCCAACATGCCCCATAAGAGCTGTAGGTTGCCAACATACAGCCCCAAGCTCCGTCCAACATGCCCCATAAGAGCTGTAGGTTGCCAACATACAGCCCCAAGCTCCGTCCAACATGCCCCATAAGAGCTGTAGGTTGCCAACATACAGCCCCAAACTCCGTCCAACATGCCCCATAAGAGCTGTAGGTTGCCAACATACAGCCCCAAACTCCGTCCAACATGCCCCATAACAGCTGTAGGTTGCCAACATACAGAAACGGAACCGGCATTCAATTTCCTGGCCAGTGCGTTTCGTCTTGGCACCTTTCATCTATAGCAATGGTTTCCCGCTACAGCTATAGGCTATAGCCCAAAACATCGAAAAACAAATCAGAAACGGCCATGGACTTTGGAAGTCCTCCACCACCCCCTGCATCGGTCAGGTTGGACTCTTTGATTTCGTGGGAGTGATCTTTCCAACCATCGATGCTACCTTGACCTTCCAAGATCTCATGCAGGTATTGGTGATTGCCATGGATTTCACTAATTTCCATAGATGTCCGTAGTTGAAAACCTGATCAAAGCGCTGTCTATCGGAATTTGGAGAAATATGGAGAACACTGAGGGCGGGATCTCTTGATAGATCTTGACATTTAGGGCCATTTGGGGCATGAAACTGACAGGTGGTTCTGTCCCTCCGTGGCAACAACACTGCCACTGTGACTTGGCCATGGCCAAAAAGTTATGAGCAAAGTTGGATGCACCTGTGTCGAAGTTGGATGTTGGATGGGATTTGTTCAAAGAAATCATGCGCACTAGCGGTGACCCATTTTGATCAAATTTTTGTGTGTCCACGCGGAATCCGGCTTTTTGCACCAAGAGGTGCTGATTATCTCATTATACCGGACGATACCAGAACAGATTTCATTGCTTAAAGAAATGCAACTGCACCTGTGGCAATAGGTATTGGCCGATGTAATGACATGCAGTAGACTGTCAAGGTCAATGCATTTGCCAAGGTGAAAGATTTGGTGGACCTCCGAAAATGTCTCCTGACTGAACTTCGACATTGTTGTTTAATGTTTTTTCATTTACTTTGCGAGTTTTGTTTGACTTCTCGTTTTTAGACTGAAATAAATATAGGGTTTGGGGGAGGGGGGGCAGGGCAGCCAAACAAATCATTTGAACTGACTCATGCAGCATCGGATATGTTTGAAAACATGTTGTTTGACTGCAGGTATCGTTGCTGAGATTGGTCGATTCAACCCTTCCGAAGAGAAGGGAACCTCAGTGAGTGTAGCTGGGAAAGACTTGTTCACATAGTTGAATAACATTTCGCTGGTGATGAGACCCATCACCATGTTGAAAATGCGAATGCCTTTCTGGCCTTTCTGTCTACTTTCTACGCCGCGCCTGCATGATCAAATTCATTCGTTTTGCTGAGAGCTGTAGCCAATCAGGCCTGGTGATCAGCACTACTTTCCTTTGATTTTGCTCACAACATGTTGGAAAGCAACACATTGATCAAAAAACATCAACAAACGACCTGATTCACTTCTATATCGGTAATGTTCTTGATGTCCATAACAGTAAGTCGAAAGTTGAATGCTTGATTCGTGTGAGATGATTGAGATGGAGACACAGGGAGATACATCGAGATGAATCGAGAGCAGATCGAGGACATTGAAATGTCGGCTTTGCGAAGCAAAGCTGCCTCCGGTTAAGAGAACTTCTCTGGAAAACCAGAGTTCCACAATCGAGGAATTGCATGTGAAAAAAAGGGTGACAGTCTGTCTCAAGAATCGATCTACAACCAATCTAGTTGATTTCAGATGATCACTCCTGTGAGTTTGGAAGGAACATGAGGGAACTGAAGCTTCAGAGTTGCTTAGTTGCCTCACAAACTTTGCCAAGGCAAGCAGAGACATACAAACTTCGAGAAATGGCCCTACAGGATGACATCAAAAGGAAGGCCTTCAGATGGATGCATTTGTTATGCTGTTCAAAGTTTTTGATCAGGTGGTCATGGTGAGTCATGGTTGGCCTTTTTTCATTTCTTCCTAATTTCTTGAAGTCTCAACATGTCTTAAAGAGGCAAGATCTTCCTTCTTGAGATTCCGTGTGGTTTCCACATATGTCCATGGTTTAGAAATGTTCATAGAACCATGTTACAAAAACAAAAACTGAAGCTTTGGAACCGCTTGGAACATCTTGGAACATCTTAGAACTTAGCGGAGCTTGACCTCAGAACACGCTTGGAACATCGGAGCAGCGGAAGAGGCACAGCAGATGGTCCCGCTGGCCTGGACTTGGAGTATTCCGATATTAGTTCCGATGGCATGATGGTGGCAGGACACATCAAAACAATTCAAAACACATCATATATATGTTCTGATGTTTTAATCATATTTCCATGTTAATTATGTTTGACCACAGTTTTTCATATTCCATGTCTATCATGGTTTATCTTCTTGATGATTTTGATATAGTTTGATATATTTTGATGAAATGGATCAAATGATGGATCAATCTTATCAAATGTTCATTTTCTCAACTGTTTTTGTTTCCCCATTTCACATTGTTTTTCCCACATGTTTTTTTTCCAGGAAAACAAAATAAACCAAAGAGAGTGTCGGGATTCATATGGCCAGGCAGCAAATGTTCGATTCAAACGCATCACTGAGGAGGTGGGGGTTGATGGTGAGTTTGCAGCAGGGAATATCGGGAATATTCGGATAGTCATTGTGAATTACTGCCCGTTCCGAACAGTAATTTATGTATAATTAACATTAATTAACGTTTATACAGTTTGGATAGAAATGAATTTTCTCGCCAAACGTTTCTGTTTGCAGAGCTGGAAAGTATCCACATCCTGGACCCAGAGGCGACCACTTTTTTCTTTCGTCTGAGTTGTGGTTCTCTTGGATTCAAAAAGTGTTTCAAATGGTAAAACTGTGACAAAACATCCAATCATCTAATGAAAGTCCCAGGTTTTTTGATTCACTGTAAGGATTTGAACTTATTTGATACTGGAGCCACCATTCTCCCAGGCGAAGAGACTTGCAACTGCAAAATGAAGCGCCTCAGATGGAAAACTGTGCAAAACAGTTGGAATTTTCTATCGATGAGGAAAGCATGTCAGGTGATCGCCCAATGAGGGCTTCTGTTGGTTCACATGTTGTATAGGCTCAAGATTGGATTCGGCAGACTGGATCAAGTCAGCAAACTCATGAATTTTCGCTACTGGATCACTGCATCAAGTCAGGAAACACTTGCCATTTTCCATCCAACAGTCTATACATTTCTATACTATCTATGTATTGTATATATATATTATATAATATTATACTATACCAAAGCAGCTGAGTGATTCCGTCACTGCCACCTCAACACATCTCAACACATTTCAGAAGCAGCGGCCATCAGTTCAGTTGTCGTTCATCCGTCAACCTGCCAGCATCGGCCGTTCTCAGTGGCTTGGGCAGAGTCCCCGACATCAAAACATAACCAATCAGAACCGATGATATCTTTCGATAGATTTCATGTATTGACTGGGTATGATTGGGTATGGGCAAAAAAGGTGAAGAAACATAAGGAACCACAGACTTCGCTGATGTCAACAGACTTTGCCTTCTAGTTTTCCTAGCGAAATGTTTCGTCAGGTCATGGCGCAAGCGCAAAACAACTTTTTCCTTTGGGGTGCATGGAGAGGAAAGGGGAGGCAAGATTTTGCTGGATGTTTCATATTGTGTTTCATGTGCTTCTGATGTTTCATGTGTTTCATGTTTGGATTTGAATGTGTTTCAGTATTTCTTTGCAAGCCCAAAAAGGGCCAGATTTTTGGACGGATGTTTGGTTCAGGATCACCAAGCCTTTCGTCACCAAGAAGTGGCCAGGGACGTTCAAAAAAGTGGTGCTAGACTTAGAGGGAACGCAGCTATAAATGATTCATCATGATCATCATGGGATTCATCATGCTGGTGGATTGAGTCGATTTTGAGCACGAAACTGCGCGCTTCGCCGAAACTGAGGTCTTCGGTGAAAGCTGTGTGATTGGACTGACCGAAACTGGCAAGGCGGGTCTAAAAAAAACGAAGCGGTTGCTGCTGAAAAAGCTGTGCGCCCAGGTGGTTTCCTGGGGCAAAGACTCCAAGACTGGTTGCTTGGGATTGGGTGCCGCACTTGGCATAGCTCCAAAGAGCTTACTTTATCCATCTTTATCCTTCATTTTTTTTCATATATTTATTCATATTGCTCACTGTCATGCTGATTTATGCTGCTTCAGCTCTGCTTGCTTCAAAACCTAGAATAAGAATAATATCATCAATAAAACCTTGAGGATATGATATCAGGATCAGTTATGATTTTTTCACATGGCAGAACTATCCCTTCTTGGAGGTTTGGCCTTCCCATGACTCCATTTCTTTCAGGTCTTTGTATCTTGCTCTTATCTCGCTCAGGTGATGACAGTGGTACTCCAGTGACAAATTCTGATTCGCCCCAGGAGGCATCATTTGTGGCTGATTTCGGAGCCGGCTCTGTAGATCTTGGAGCATGTCTGAGTATGTCTGAGTGGCCCCAATCGAAGTGGTGTCATTTTGCACCTTCTTCCAGTTTCATTCCACGTGTGAATTGCGGCGCGCAGGTTCCGAAATTGAAAGACGTGAGATTCTCAAGACGTTTTTTTTCGATATCTCAGGATGTTTCCGAAATTTGCCAAAACATGGCTACCCCAAACCAGGGCTTTTCCCATTGATAGTAACTATATAATATATAACTTTATAATCTTTAGATATATAGTAATTATAACCCAACTATATAACTTTATATAGTCATTAAATGTAATTAACCCACTAGTAGTTTTGGATGATTTGGGGTACCAAGGTCATGGACATCCAGATGGGTTTGGAGCATGTGGTGGTCCTCACCAGTGGTGGTGAGGCAAGCCCGATGATCTGATGATATCTCCTGATGACCAAGCTGATATCGTATAGTAACAGTAATAAATATAGTATAATAGTGAAGTTACTATAGGCTGATGATATCTGATGATATCTGATGATTAGTATAACTAACAGTTACTGATATAGTATAACATAGTATAACAGTTCTATAACATATATAGTAAATAGCACGGCTGATGATTTCATGTATGAAAACACCTGATAATTTTATCAATGCTTATTCATCGTGGATGCTGATTTCAGGATTTGGGAGGAAGACCAATATATATCTATGTCTATATATGTTTGTCAACCCAAATTTGCTACGAATTGAATGAAAACCTATATCAAGTCCAAATAGGTAGTCAAATGATTTCAGACACGTCAGACGTGGCATGTTTTGAAGCCCGCAAGGTCTATGTTTGGGGCAGTGGTGCCAAAGGCCAACTTGGCACTGGACGGTTGGACACTCTGTACGCACCGCTCAAGGCAGGTGAGCAATGTTGAGAAGATGGGTGAGACCTGGGTTGGGAATTTTGGGACTATTGGGAGTATTGGGAGTATTGGGATGTGGAATGAAGCTGAATAACAATATAAATAATTCAAGGCTCCGATTGAAGGCTGAAAAAACAGCTCCATTGTGCAGGTTCTGTGGCATTTGGCATTGAGATGCTAGACTGGAATTGTTAGAATTTAGAAACATGAAATTCATCTTGGTATCATTCATGGTCCTGGAAGTTGATGTCTTGATGACGCAGCCCTAAAAAACACGGGGAATCCATCAACGGAGAGGTGGAAGCATTGACCAACGAGCAAATCGTCCAGATCCTCGTGGTGAGGTATGGGCCTTCTGCAGCTTCGCAGATCTGGGTAAATCGACTGCATCGAATCAAAGACTCAGTTCAGTGTGGGTTAAAGATAAACTCAACATTTACTATACAATATATATAGTAAGTGTATATATATAATATATATATAGAAATACATACATACATTATACATTAAAATCATTAAACAATGATCTCCTATGATCTTCCCATGATCTTCCCATGGCCATTGAACAATGAATCTCTCCGCCAGGAACTCCACCTTTGCGTTGTCGAGCAACGGCACGGTCTTCGCCTGGGGCGACAACCAGGACGCGGCCAAAGGGGCCGACGGGGCCGACGGGGCATCACTTGCCGCAGTGGTGGACAAATGTGGACAATGACAATCATATGACAATCATTTGTTATTATCAACTGATATGAACTGACAATCATTGACAATGTGACAATCCTTTGAATTTACTGCAAGGATAATATTCTCGGCCTTGAAGATGGAAAGGCAGTATGAGACTCAGTACTTCGTCATGACTGTTATGATTTCATTATGATTTCTTGAAGTTGCAAGTGACATCAAGTGACATCAAGTGGCTAAAATGACGAAGTGTCGCTGGAAGTGTGTTACTTCGCTGATATTGCGACCTCAGGTCGAAGAGTGGCCAACGAAGTTGACTCTCTTACAAGAGACAAGGGTGCCCAAGATCCCGGTTGTGTTTTGCCATGTTTTGCCAACTCTAAGATTGATTGTTTCCGTTAGAAAACATAGAATGTTGTGAACAATGTCAGAATCTGATTGCATTTGATGCCCCAGGGGGTGGTTCTGGTTTCACTGATTTAGCATGATTTGGCTGTTTAGGTGATTTCATTTGCAGGTCCGAAAGCTGGAAGTCTTCGATGGCAAGACCATTGTTGCGCACATTCGTGCCCGAAACCAAGATGCAGAGTTGAAAGAACCAGCAGGTGGCAACTGATACCAGTTCCTACACATACACTGCAGTATACTGCAGTGCACTTCTCAGACACACCGGATCTCACTTTGATCATTTTTCGTCACCCAGCACTGCCCATCTATTGGGGTCACAGGGTGCAGAATCGGAGACCAACTTCGGTCGCTATGAGACGGTGCCGGAGGATGGCGGTCAGGCCATTGGCATCGAAAGATTCTGAAAGTTCCATTGCGACAGCTTCGACATGCTTCAACTGCAAGTTTAGGGGATCTCAATGGGTCAACGGGATCTCATTTGATCTCATTTGATCTCATTTTCCACCATTTTCCACCATCATTTTCATCCACCATGAAATTTGATGAATTTCATGTGATTTTGTTTGGTCTCCCCAAATTTGGCGCGGGCTTGGCCGGTGTTTGATGCTCAGGGGGAGAAGGAGGAGATCGACATCTTCAAAGGCATCGATGAAATGAGAGAAGTCATGACAAAGACACAGGCGCAGCATGGCGATGTGGCGATGGCGTTTCTGAAAATTTCTGTTGCGCCATATCCGGATATATCGGGTGTCTCAGTCACAACATGTCACAACCCCGAGCCAACTTACCCAACGCAAGCGTTCTCCAGCTATTTCCAGGAATGGTGGAATCACCTGCTGAACATCAAACATGGCGAGCCCTGTGAGCTACCGGAAGATGTTGATGTTCAAGCCATGCAGGTGGGAAACTATGGGAAACTATGGGAAACGTGGGACATCGTGGGACTGTGCTCCCAAAGGCTGCAAGTTATGCTGAAAAATTGGATGCAGGTGGAGTCCTCGGCCAAACCCACAAGTCCAGATGTCGGCCTCCCAGATTTGGTTCAGATCTGGTCCGGATCCAGAGTGAACTGCTTCGAAGTGCTGTGTTGAACTTGTTGAACTGCCCAAGGACTCGGAAGTGAACCTTGCGTGTTTGGCAAAGTCTGAGAAATCCGAATCATTTTGTTCTTGCATCTATTGTATCCGAATTGTTGTTGGGGCATTGAAAATAAGATGTATATCAATATATATCAATATGTATATAACTTACGGTATATCTAAACATCTCCCTATTTGAACACCGTTGACCGCCAGGTGGAGGTAGAAAGGCTCCACCGGGCCGAAAGGCTCCATGGGAAAACAGCAAAACACTGGGCATTTTTTTGTGATTTCATGGGATTTTCATGGCTTTAGAATGGGTTTATAATGGGTTTTTATGATTAAATACATACTGATTATATGACTGTATATAAAAATCGAATTATAGATCATTTACTCACGGTTTTTTGATGAATCTGGTTGAAACCCGGGCGGTTTGAAATCTGTTTTGGGACGCTCAGGCACCTGGATGCCCTAGTACACGCAGCAAGACGAGAATTGAGAGAACTGCAGAAGTCGCATGGTTCCAGGCTTGCCCCAGGGTATGCCACAGTATCTGAAAATTTGATATGTCAGATATGTCATGATTGTATATGATTGTCATGTCCAAATGTCATAAATCTTCAAGAATATCTTGGATCCAGAGACGAACCGTTTTGCACTGCTGTGGCTTTGAAACCTTTAAACAAATTTCATGCAGTGAGACCTTGATGTTTATTGAAAAGGTAGGCTTTGGCATGAGTAGCATGATGTGGCATTGTAGGTTTGGTTCCCTGCCAGTGTTCACAGGACCAAGTAAGAACATAAGAACCGATTCATACTGATTCACATTCTGATGCAAACCCTGTGACAACATGACACTTGTACTTGGGTGTTGCCTTGTTGAAAGAGATTAAGAAAGGGTGAGGTCGCTGCTGATTAAGTACGGTTAAATCATGTCCGAGACGAGACAGGGTCAACGGGTCAACGAGACTTGCTTTTGTGGCAGGAAGAACTCTCGCTTCATCCTATGCATGTTCATCGATGAATGCCGTTTGAGAAGAGAAAAGGCCATGCTGTGGAGATGGAATCTGAAATGAAAGCATTTTGATGTTTTAAGATGATGTTGTAAGTGTTAAGCCTTTTTGTGATAGTCTGATAGTCCAAAGATGTCTAAGGCCTTGTGATTTGAACTTTGTCAACAGATCTCACCAGAACATTATATAATGCACCATGATGCACCATGATGCACCCATGATGCACCATGATGCACCGGACAGAAAAGATATGAAAAGATGACAGAAAGATAAGATGCGGAGAAAGATGGAGAGAACTTTCCACTCCGCGGCAAATATCTGCAATCCAGAGATTCAGAGAATTGTGGATTTCGTTTTTCTCAAAATTCCTCGAAATTCCTTCAAATTCCTTGCATTTTTTGGTTGCCGTGATGGTTGCCATGTGGATTCTCCGTTGCGAGGTGAAGCGTACTATTGCTGCGCGACGGCTCAAAGATGCAAAGGCTAGATCAGACAAGATTTCCGCGTGCCCATGGGCTGCCCATGTGTCATCCATGTGTCATCCATGTGTCATCCATGTTCAACGCATCGAGTCGTATCGAGTCCATGATCCATGCAGATGGCGAGAGTTGTTGATTTGGCGCAGATTTGGTGCGATTTTGTGGTGGAGGTACTCTGTGAAAGATTTCAGTTCCAAAGCAGAGGAAAGCATCAACAGACTCACGGAAGACAGAAAGGACAGCCTTTTTGAGATCAATTCTGAAGGGGTATTTCTGATTTTCAGTGGGTCAATTTCGAAAGAAAAGCGCTGCATTTGATTGATCCACATTGACCCGCTGAAAAAATGCAGCGCTTTTCTTTCAAAATATTTTTGAATATCTCCATCAAAAGCTGTGTCTGAATGTATATTGAGTTGACTAGTTAATGCTCTATAGCGCTGTGCTATTTGGTTTGCGTTTTGTTTTGAGTCATCTGTGAGTCATGATCGTCATGTTATGTTCTGTTTCAAGACGGGTTTCACTCCAGAAACTGGCGGAGATGCGGGACGCGGTGCAAGCCATTGTGATTCCAAGCTCTGATGTGCTCAGCGAACAGCTTCAGGCAGCCATGGTGTGCAGTTTCACTGCAAATCTTTGTGGAAACGTGAAACTATCTGAAACTATCTATGAAACATTATGAAACCAAGGAACTTGGAAATCATTTCTGGAAATCCATAGAAAACCATTCTGTGATGACTTCTCTATACTTCTATGAGTCTATGAACGTACTGGTTCCATGGATAGCCAAATGTGCACACATTGCAGTGCATTGTGCTGTTGATGGTATCAGTCCTGATGGGTTGAAGTGTGCAGGTCACGTTGTTGGAATGCTTGGAATGCAAGCTGCAACTCCTGAGCACGCAACTTCAGTTGGTCAAGGCATCTCCTGGCGACGGATTGGACTTGGTGTAGAGTCGCTGAGATCTCCATGGTATGACATACCTCTCTGAAACAAGAAACCATTGAAATTTGAGATCATTTCCTGCACGATTGCCATATATTATATATATTAATTAAAATATATTACATTATATATTATACAACCAAGCGATACCAAGCGTGTGCTGTGATCACCCACAAATCATAGCAACTTGGCAAATCGCGGGTCATATATCATCGCCTCGTGAGGCTCGAAATCCCGACGTATTTCCTCAGCTCAAACATCGCGATCCGAATCTGATGTTGCCTGCGTTGGAGATCATCAAGGCAGCACGTTGTTTTTTTTTTTGAGACCTCAGGATTTCTATGAATGATTCGAATATGATTGGAACATCAATACTTAGAAAATCTATGTTTTGATCTGAGGAGATCCGATATGATCCAATGTGTGATCTGATGAAAATCTGATGATATCTTCCAAATGCAGAGCGTGTGGAGAGTCATAGAGAGACATGTCAGATTTCATCCATTTCATCCATGCCTCCAGGCTCGCTGGGACTCGTTGAAGCACTTCTCGCTCTACGCGTTGTACATGGAGGAGTCGGAAAAGTTTGACAAGCAGAAACAAGGCGCAAGTTCGACACACAGTCGACACACCACGGACACACACTGGAGATATTTTGATGATTTTTTAATTTAAGGTGTCTCCGTTGTCCAACTGTTTGTCTCATTTCTCAAAACAGTACTGTACGTCTTTGCAGGCATTGACGACAATACCCACCTCGCCTATTTGGTGAAAGCGTCTAATGTTGACAGCTTAGACTCCATTAGACAATGTCGCTTGAGCGTGGACTGCTGGGATTGGATAATGATTTCAATCAAGTCCTGACCAAGGCTAAAATAGACACCATGCTTCAAATCGACAAGGCTGGTGATCGGTGGAAACATGTGGAAACCATCAGGGAAACCCGCCCCGTCACATGGGCTACATGGTCATGACATGTCATGAGATGCCCTTATCTATCCTATCTGATTTTAATGTAATGTTTTGTCATTTTTGTCATTTTTGATGTCAGGTTTTGCCATGATGCGGCTTGAATTTGTCAATGTTTGGGAGCCACTCGATTAAAATGAACGACTGCAGGAGCCACGACTCTCCCACGACTCACAAGTGCCAGGTCTTTGTGTGGAAACCGAGATAAATCATGATGAATCACTGCATCCGGTTCCAAGATGAAAAGAGGTATGAAAATCGATGAAAAGGTCAATGTGAGGTCAATGTTGTATAGAGTGACATCGATTGATCAGGTTGGAACACATGTCTCATAACACTGTGAACACATTTGTTGATTCGCCTGGTTCAGTCTCAAAATCAACTGGGACATCGGCGCAACAATGCACAACAGCTTCAATGGCGAACTTCGCAAACATCCGTAGGAAGCCACACTTAGTAAAGCCACCGGTTGCAGTGGTGGATTTGACTTTGGAAACGCATCAGGATGTCTGCTATAGACTGCTATAGAACCAATATCTGAGATGAGAAAGCCACATTGAAAAATACCGTTCTTTCCATGCAGGCAGTGCAAATATACTGATTGTGGCAGTCCAAGATACATCGTCCAAAACGGCAAAACCTCGGAACGCTACAATTTGCATGATATAATATTCAATATAGTCCAAGGTTCGCTTCATTTGTAAGTTGCATTTTACCTCACATCGTGTGGCTGCTATGTCATAGCAAGCCGCACCTTGCCAAAATATCTGAGCAGCTTGAGCGGAAGCGACGTAGCTGGCTTAGTTGCAGCTGTGATGGTATTGAACAGCATTTTGCGCATTGAGTTTGCTTGTTTCCTGTATTGATTCACGTTGATTCTGTCCGGGGTAGAGCTTCACATTCATTTCAGGTCCCAAGAAGGACTGGAATTCTTCCGAAAACAAAAAGAAAATGCAATGAACGACATATGCTGAGGTGCGATATGTCGCGTACTATTCAGGTGAAGGGTAACCACCCTCAGGGTCTGGCACTTGTGACCCGAATATACTTGATGCAGCTCGGCCATTTGAATTTTGCGATGAGATGGGTTTATCCAAACATGGGGGGTTCACCTCCAACTTACATGTTTGATCATCATTGGAATAGAAACATGATGATTGATGATCATCAATGGGAATTTGCGGTTTTCTGAGTTTTCTCCCATCATTTTCAGACATTTTTTCAGACAAACTCAGCTGGGCGCCGGAGTCAGGGACTGGCTGTCGACCTCAGTGTGTTGAGGCAAGCCATGGAAAAGGAGTTCGGCAAGGTTGCCTACTGCAAGAAGCCACCCACCACAGGTGCATGGTTCAGTCTTAAGAAACCTTCTTCATTCTATAGCCATAGCCTTTGTATATCAAATCATATATCATTAGTAATTTGTAATTTAGTGTCATTTATAATGCACTATTAAATATTAAACTTGTAATGTACTGTAGTTTGACATAGTTTTCCTTATTTCCATCAAGATGTTTCCACTTGGGAATATCCTCAGGTGATCCTGAGACTGATGTGGCCTTTGTCCAGTTTGTGAACCAGCAGGCCATGCTGTCGCCGTGGTGATGACAGCGCCTGAACGGTGCAACCGGTGCAACCGGTCGCTGTGTTGCCAGGATGCGGAAAGGGCTGTGGCAGCCTTGCGCAAGGGACTTGGTGTGAGCACCACTTGGAGACTTGGCGAAAAGAAATCCCGAAAAACACAGAGATTGTGTTTGTTTCATATCGTATGACCAGGAATCCCGCAATATCCTGCATAAATTGGCAGAAATGCGGAAAATGAGAACATTTGCAATAATTTGCATGTTGAAGAATCGGACACTGTTGGACACTGTCGGACACTCTTGATACATTTGTGTCACTCATGGCTGTTTCAGACGCTCGTCCAGGACAGACATCACCTTGGACATCACTGGCGACTCTAAGCTGAGTTTGCACAAAAAGAGACACCGAGACAACAACGACAGTCATTGTGCCAAAATATTCCAAAACATGCCAACGATGGCCATGAGGGGTTTCACAGCCTATGATTGTCTATGATAGTCTCAATTTTGACAGATTTGACAGTTTTGACATCGCATGGCAGCATGGCATCGCATAACATGGCGCTTTTGGTAGCGAAGTGAGGATTGGAAGCCAGGAGAGGGTGGCAAAGGAAGGGGCGGCGGCTCAACCTTTGTGAAGTGGCAACCAGAGACTGTCGAGGACACTAGGGCCATGTCCTTGGGCCTTGTGGTGGTTCTGGGATGTTCCAGGTATCTTCTGGGTGTGCTGTATCCATTTATATATCATGAATTTCCGGTTTCCAGTCTAGTCTAGTGTATCTCATTCTTTACGAAAGTGAACCCAAACCGAGATTTTGACTTTGAGGCCTAGTGAAACAATGTCAGACATGCAGCAACATGCTGGTCAGTCATATGGGACACATTCCACACAGCTCCAGTGAATGCCTTGCGCATGACCAAGCCACCTACGGTCTGACCCATGGTTTGGCACACCGTCCCCAGCTTTATACAGCATATGATGACTATTATAGACTTCAATCCGGATACACATTTACCAGACGTGCACTGAACTTCACATGAACGGATCCGGATACCATGACGTTTTCAAAGCCAGGATTCACGATCGTTTTTGAATCCGCCTGTTCGAAACGTCTCCCGGTCACGAAGGCAGCCCGATGTGGCGGCAGGGTTCATTTGCGCATGAAATCGTGGTGAGGTTGAGTGAACTTCAGATAAGTGATAAGGGGGTGCTACGAAGTTGGAATGTTACTGCTCAGCAAAGGTCCGAGAATGATCACTGTCCAACATAAAATTCTGCAGCCTTCTCCACTGATTGAACAGCCTGAAAGTCTAATAAGCGCAGAGGCGTGATGAGCGAAAGGATGATCGGCGTGACCGGAATCGACAAGATGATCGAAGAGATGATCGACGAGATGATCGACGAGATGATCGACGAGATGATCGTCGAGATGATCGTCGAGATGAACGTAGAGAAGATCGAAGAGGCGGACATGAACGTCGAGAGGATAGAGATCAAAGAGATCATAGAGATCATAGAGATGATCGAGGACATCGAGATGATAGGAATGACAGAAGGGATGGACGGGACGGAAGGGATGTATTGAAAGATGAAAGACGAGATGAACGAAAGGATGATAGAAGAGAGATGCCAAGAGATGAACGCCGCGACGACAGGCGAGATGACCGACGAGAGTATGGAAGAGATGGAAGAGATGACAGAGATGGGAGACGGGATGAAAGAAGGGACGACCGACCAGACCGACCAGACCGACGGGATGATCGAAGGGAGAGGCGAGAGGAGAGAGAGGAGAGGGAAAGGGACAGAGAAGTGGACAGATTGGACAGGGGAGTGGATAGACTTAGAGATTACGATAGAGATTACAACCGGCAGAACCAAAGACACACAGACAGAGACAGAGGCTCCGACAGAGTCAGGCGAGAAGAGCCCCGGGTCTACGACAGCTTCGATCATGCAAGAGATGATCGAAGACGGGATGACAGAGATGCTCGGGATGCTCGGGATGCTCGGCAAAGAGATGCAAGGGATGGAAGAGGTGACGCTCGGACAGATCGAAGGGACCGAAGCATGGATCGAGACGGTCGAGACGCTCGAGATGCTCGCGGTCGAGACCAGATCCGAGAGATCCGAGAGGACCGAGGCTACAAAGATGGCTACGGCGACTCGCACCGCTACGAGCGCTACGAGCGCTATGGCTATGAGTCTGTCAGAGACACTCGAGACCTTTCAGACGCCCGTGACGCCACCCGTGACTTCCGGAAGGATCGACCTGGAGATCGACCTGATCGGAGTCGCACATCCCCTGCCAGGGACATCAGGGACACCGGGGATCGACCTGACCGAGGTCACCGAGGACGTGGCAGCTTCGAAGGTGGCTACCAGAGAGATGAACGTGGCGACCGTGGCGACGAGGAGAGGAGACACAGAGACAGAGATTACGCAGAAAGGCCGCAAGTTTTGCAGAAAACATACAGCCGATTTTTTGTTTAAGACTTATAATTTACTTATAATAAGTCAGTATATAAGTCAATCAAGTCATGATAAACTTCAATTCAATTCACAATGAAAGGTCATGTGTTGGGTTTCTGCTTCTCCATTTTCGTGCCCGCAGGCGCAGCGACAGACGAGAGAGGTAGGCTTCATGCATGGAGGAAGATCGCCAAAGATGCGAAGATAGAATGCATGAGGACTGTTGAAAGTCCATTTTCAAACAAGTGCATTGATATGTGTCTCGAGTCTCAAACTGTTCAAACTGTTTTAATCTCAAACTGTAAAAATTGAGAATGACTTCAGGTTCAGATCTCACTGCCCAGGACATGAAGTGAGAGACGGATCCTGGGAGACACGGAATCCATTCCAGCTTGGCACGCATCGTTTCAGATTTTCATCATCTTCCACAGTGGAGAAGCTAAAGACTGCTCGTCGCCTCCAAATCGATTCACTTCCGAATACCCAACACAACTTGAGCTGCGCAATGAAGACAAAAGATGCAAAACTGCTTGGTGCATATCTTGATTCTTTTTGTATCTTTTTGTCAGAGTCATCCAGTATCATAATCCATTACTGCAGTATAATTATTCATTCTTATTCTATTCCGATGCGGAATGCAGATGAATGCAGTGCGCCTTTCCAAAAGAAAAGCTGAGCTTAAGAGGAGCGGCACAGCAGATGGTGCCATCATGCAGCAGATGCAGATGCCTCAGGTTACGATCTCCTGAGAGAAAATGCAGAGCTGCGGAAGATGGCCAACACGTGCCGGATGTTCGATGTTTGGCTGAAGTTCACCAGGATCTGACATGAATACTATATTACTATATATCTATTACTATCCTGGAAAGCCAAAAACAAAATTTTCTGGTCATTGTGGGAAAAAGCCGTAGTGAACTTTTTTTTTGGGTAAAATATTGTTGTTACCTGAAATGACAAAAAAAAATGGTCAAATCAAAAGAACATTGCAGTCCTACCCGTAGAAAAACCGTATTTTTTCAACATTTTGTTGAAAAAAACCGTAAAAAACCGTAAAAAACCGTAGCAGCTCTCACACAAGCCTACCCGTAGCAAAACCGTATTTTTTCGACATTTTGTTGAAAAAAGGCCGTAAAAAGCCGTAGCAACTCTCACACAAGTGGTTCCAGACGATCAAAGCCGTAATGACCAAAAAAAATGGTCAAGGCCGTTTGACCAAAAAAAAATGGGATTATGGCTTTCCAGGATATTACTATATAATCTATATAGTATATTATACATATAATATGACATGTCTGTGTTTTTGACTTTAACATACTTTAACAATTTGCAAAGCGTGAGCTCTGGGGAAAGTTGATCAGATTCTATCAGATTGATCTTGCGCATAGCTTGGCAAAAGTGGTGTATACAGTGTATATAGCAGTTTGCTGGCAGTCTGTCAAGCAGTGGAATTATACCACTTCTGTCAAGATCTGTCAAGCAGTACAATGCAGTACAGACTGATGGCAGTCCGATGACTGAATGTGGCCAGGTACCAACTTCACGTGCTCATGCTCTACAATGGAAGAGACACTGATCCCAGCATAGGCACTTCGGGACTCTCCGGGTCAGAATGCAGCGACATGAGACATGTCACAGCGGTCACTGTTCAAAAGCGTTCAAAGCCCGTAGTTTTTTTCCTACAATTCGGAGAAGGAGATGAATCAACCAGAATGAAACATAACTATGACAAACTTCACACCTTAGACATCCTTATAGATCTTATAGATCTTATATCGACATGTTTAAATCTATAAATATCTATATCATGAAATATCGCCGCTTCCAGGCATGACACAAGCGGACGGCATTGACCTCAGCCGAGCCAGGAACCAACTGACAGAAACATCAGATGGTTATTATATGATATAACATATATGGTTAATGAATGTTAATGATAAAAAAAGACATGGAAATAGACATGGTTAACCATCATGGAACTCATTCGAATTCGATCTCTCCAAGCATCAGGTCAAGCGGTCACAACTTTTTAACGCTGCGCCAATGCCGCCGTGCACAAGACACCGAGCCGCCTTCGACGGTGTCAAGGTGTCAAGATGCAGCTCAAAATGGCTACAGAATGCTACAGACACAGTTGACATCAGGATTTACATCAGCTATTTGACAATAATTGAAGTTGATTGACAGATATTGACATCAACTGAGCTCCGAACGTTCCCAATTTGTTTCACCCCTAGTGGATCCACATTTCGCACATGGGTCCAATGGCCAAAGTGTCGATGGGAGACAAATAGAGGGCAGAGGCCAAAGGCCAGACCAGCCAAGAGAAGATGCGAAGTGAACAGATTGAAAAGGTTTGAAAACTGGGAAAAGGACTTCAACATATTCAAAAAATATTCAAATAATTTGTCAGAGAATTTGTGATAGCTTCAATCACCGGCGATTTTCACTGGACTGCAAATGACTTCAAGCTTCTCAACATATCTCAACCTTTTGTCATCGTTTGTCAAACTTTTCGAATTGCAGCCTTTGCACAGCCAGGTTCAGAGACATTCAGAGGGAATTTGTTCAGTGCCTTGTGCTGGACCAATTTCCTGACACAACATCGCTCTTAAGATATTGTATATTGTAGTTCCCTTGGAATGCAGCAAGCATTCTTTGGATCGTTTCAAATGTTTCAAGGGTTCATGTGCAGATACTGACAAACTCAGCTTTCGGGCACAGGAATCGCTTTCTTTGTAACCAAAATCAGTAACAACAATCAGCATATTATTAACCATCATTAAGCATATAATAACCATCATATTAACCATGTAAACATCATAAAACATCATACATCAACCAACTCAGTTGGAAAGCCATGGAGCTCAGCTGGTCCACCTGGTCTCCATTTGGATATAAACTGCTCTCAGTGAGGCGTCTAACCGCAGAAGTTGCACCTGGATTTGCTGATTAAACTTTCAGATGCACAACTGGATGTTTCTCCAAGATATGTCAGAGGATAGATATGTGTTTTTTCATATTTTGATTCAAGATATGATTCACACATGATTCACATCTGCATTCGAACAGAAAGAGCTGCAGGTCGACCGTGGAATTCCCCAAGCTGCATGCCCAGCATGCTGATGCGGGATGTCGAAGGTGGAGAAACAGATTTGCAGTGGCATTGGTTATGGTTCAACTATGTTCAACTATGTTCAACTGGTTCACCAAAAAAACTCACGATTTTGGGCTAGAACTGGCAGAGGCCTCGATGCACGCCCAGGTCCGGAAGCTTGGGATACGACAGATACCAGAAGCCGGTATCACTGATATGAATATGATATGAATATGATATGAATATGATACGAAGATGATATGAATATGATATGAATATGATATGGTTATGATATGAAGATGATATGAATATGATACGAAGATGATATGAATATGATACGAATATGATACGAAGATGATATGAATATGATATGAATATGATATGAATATGATATGAATATGATATGAATATGATATGAATATGATATGAATATGATATGAATATGATATGAATATGATTTGAATATGATACGAAAATGATATGAATATGATATGAATATGATACGAAGATGATACGAAGATGATACGAAGATGATATGAATATGATAATGATATGATATGATATGAATATGATATGAATATGACATGAATATGATTTAAATATGATTTGAATATGATATGAATTCATGAGAGAACCAGAGGATTGGGATCTATCACAGGATCTCTATATGTTTTTTAAACGTCCATGTCGTACTTTGTGTTTGATGGTGCACTGCAAAAGACATTGAGATCATTGAGATCAATGAGTTTGAGAACTTCATAATGTTTGGCCCAAATTGTTCAGCCTCAAGGGCTTAGAGTCACGGCATTAGGGACACATGAAGTCCACAGAAATACCGTAATTTTCCGAAGTCGGGCATGGCCCGCATGGCATACAGCACCATGCACATAAGTTGTCAATGGCTTTGCAGTTCTGTGACAGATAACGACATGTTTAAGATGTTTTGGACAAGTTAGACAAGTTAGACAAGTTGGTGGTTTCCACCGAGATATCGCTGGTTTCACCGTGATTGATGAAACATGGCGGACGCACCGGCGTTCCTGACCAAATTCGCTCCCATCTTGGACGAGCTGCAGGACCGTGTCACTGAGTCCCGTCAGCTTGGCAGATTTACATGATTTACATTTTCGCAGATAGATAAAATCCTGATGCAAAATCAATTGATATATATTTACGAATCATATCACAATAACATGTTATTTGAATCTTTGGAACCTAACCGAAATATGCATGGCATTCAATGGATTCAAGCAGCCTGGGAATTCAGCTTCCCTGTTCATGTATTTACCGTTTATTTACCATTCCCAGATATTAAGACATCAAGATATTGTATCTTAACAGTCTTAACACATAGGATATCATATGATGATGCTTGATTCACAGACTCAAAGTATGTGATCTTTGCAGCGCTCCACTTTTCTGAAGGATCGGGAGGAAGGCAGCAAAATTGTGGCAGTGGTTACAATGACCGGCTTTTCGGTTTGCATTTAGCTTGATTCCTGATGTGTTTAGAAAGTCTCCCAGTGATCGGTTTCCACTGACATTGTGTGTTCAGGGGTCATCAAAAGACTCAATGAGTCACTCAATGAGACAAAATGGGACATCACTTTTAAGGTCACCTTTTAGATGTGTTTTTTTGGTATTGCTTTTATGTGTTTTAGATTTTGTTTTGTTGGGGGGAAGGGGGGGCAGGGCTTTCAATAAAATGCGGCAGGACAGAGATATTCCGATATCAATCAACTTTTGTCTTGAGATATCAAAGGGTGATGTTCAGATGGATCATTTCACTACTCCTGTAACAGGTAGCTTCTCGACTGTGGGGTAGCCCCCTAATCATGGGCAGTATGTTAACTACTTTTAATTTGCAGTGACAACTGATAATTGAATCTAAAATTTCAGCCCAACACAGGACCGCCACTTCAAGATAATGAGCACAGCACAACCACCCGGTTTCAGGCTCCTGCTGTCCCATCACCGATGCCCATTGCATGGCGCGGCTCTGCCGCACCCGAGGCAGTCTCATGATGTCTCTAAATTTCCGTATTAGTCTATGACTTATGATGCTTCCCGTGATGGCCATTCAAAGCTGATGATGATGATGATGATCATCATCATCATCATTATGATGCCACATAACTTCCTGTTGCGGATTTTGGATGTGAGCCAGCCCAAGGTTCGATTGTGCAAGGGAGTTGTTGCTGGGCACAGATGAGCGTAGACCTGTGGCTCCTGAGACGTTTGGCGAAGTGCTGGGGCTTTTGTCTCTGTCCCCGGGCCGCAATGTTTCACCGTTCACCAGTTGTCACCGGAACTTTGTCACCGGAACTCGTGTCGCATTTGTCGCATTTGTTCGCCATCCTGAAGCCTCAATCTTGTCTCGAGGAATGGCGACAAACATGTTGGTGAAAAGCTTCGGATGAAGGGCCTACCAGCCATTTCATACTGGGACAGGCAACCGGTTCAACATGGTTCAACCGTTCGGTGCACTGACTGATTGGTGACGTCCGGTCTATGTCCTGTCTATTTAGCTGATTTCAGATGATTTCAGATGATTTCAGCATTTAAGAGAAGCTTCAGCAACAAGTTCTCCCTGGCTTCTATTGTGCACATCCTGATCTTTCATGCGCGCCAGTTGGCTGATGTTACAGTATTGCAGTGATGGTTTTGATATGTTGTGATTGTTTCTATGAAAGGTTCGTGACTCCAATCGATTCCAATCCCTTCCGAGTCGATGCCTGCCACATTTTGGGCGGTGCAGGGCTGAACTGACAACTTTGGCCACATCAGAGCGGCCGTGGATGGATTTCAACCCCTTGCGCGAGCCTCATGCAGTGCAGGCTTTGCAGCACCGCTGGGTGAATCTGAGATTCATCAGGCGCCTGGAGATGCCAGGGCACTGATGTTTCAGCTGCATGTAGGCATCATGTAGGCATCATGTAGGCACCATGTAGGCAATAGACAATGATAATTATATAATATTAATATATTATAATATGTATTACATAATACATCATAATACAATATACAACAATAATACTGCGATGTACTTAGACTCTGCTGTAAGGATTTTTTCCTATGAAGCTGCGCAACAGGTATGCCTTGAATGGCGCCGACGACGTTTGCAAGTTTCAGTGACTTTGCAGCACTATGTTCACCATATGCTATACTCGCTATACTATACTATACTCTACTCTACTCTACTATACTATACTATCATATACTATCATATACTGTCATATACTCATATACTATCATATACTATCATATACTATCATATACTATCATATACTCATATACTATCATATACTCATATACTATCATATACTGTCATATACTATCATATACTCATATACTATCATATACTCTACTATACTATCATATACTCATATACTATCATTTACTCATATACTCATATACTATCATATACTATCATATACTCATATACTATCATATACTATCATATACTGTCATATACTATCATATACTATCATATACTATCATATACTATCATATACTATCATATACTATCATATACTGTCATATACTATCATATACTATCATATACTATCATATACTATCATATACTATCATATACTATCATATACTATCATATACTATCATATACTATCATATACTCATCTATATATATACTATCTATATACTCATCTACTATCATATACTATCATATACTATCATATACTATCATATACTATCATATACTATCATATACTATCATATACTATCATATACTATCATATACTATCATATACTATCATATACTATCATATACTCATATACTATCATATACTCATATACTATCATATACTCATATACTATCATATACTATCATATACTATCATATACTATCATATACTATCATACTATCATATACTATCATATACTATCATATACTATCAGATACTCATATACGATCGTATCTATATTTGGCAAACAGCAAACATCACAGTTCTGTACTGAGGAAATGGAGAGGATGTACAGAACGCCGCCGTTCCATCACCATGGGAAGACCTGGCTTTACCAAGCAGGTGCAACCGAGATGTGCCAACGATTTACTGGTCATGAGTCATAATAGTGAGGTGTTTAGTCCTGTTTAGTCAAATTTGGATTTGTATGATTTGTTTAGTATTGTTCATCATGATGCTGGTCATAGTTGTGATATCTTTACTCATGATGATGGTTGACTTTTGGAATATTCCAGGTGATTGATGGTGCCAGAAGACATGGCGTACCCCTGGACACAGGACAGGCTGATCAGATGTTGCAGGTTAAGAAGGGGGGACTTTCCAGCACAGTGAAGTCAATGTAGTGAAGTCAGAAATGTGCAAATTGTGCAATGTTTGTTGTTGTGAAACAGATCCTGAAACATCCTGAAACTCCTTTGCGAAACAGGATATTTTATTGTCGGTCCTGAACTTCCAGACATCTCTTCCACTGCTGTGCGACAGGCACTCCAAGAGGAACACGGAAACCAGCCTGAATATGATCCCACTGTAGAACCCTGTAAGAAACAAGACTCATCATCATGTCCTGTCATGTTTCAACAGCAGATAGTATTGATATGTATTGATAATATAGATGTAACGCCATGTGGACACCATGTGGACATTATACCACATGAATCCTATAAATCCTGGCGTTAAATCATGGAATGGGGCCCAAACGCTGAGGAAAACCTCCAGAGGAAGCTCTGGAACGGCTGACGGGCCTTCTTCATCCAAGAGCGGCGAGCTGAAAACCACCGGACTCCCTGGACTCTGACAGACTCTGCCAGACTCTGCTTGATATGAGGTGCATTATTGGCCTACAGGCCCAAAGCAGGGGTTGTGTAAAGCGTGTAAAAGCTGGTTTGTGTAAAAGCTGACTTGTGCAAAAGTTGGTTTGCGTAGAAGCTCTGGTGTGTAAAAGGTCGTTCGTGTAAAAATGCTGCAACCCAGGGGCAAGCCGGATGAGGAACCAAAAAGAAGATGAAGGATGATGATGAGAATGAGGATGATGATGAGGATGATGATGATGATGATGATGACGATGACGATGACGATGACGATGATGATGATGATGATGATGATGACGATGATGATGATGACGATGATGATGACGATGATGACGATGATGACGATGATGACGATGATGACGATAATGATGACGATGATGACGATGATGACGATGATGACGATGACCACCGAGACGATGATGATGCAAATAAGGTCAGTGCTAGTTCGCTTGAGAAAGAGACAAAACCAGACGAGACTATACTAGACTATTATTGTATATGTGGAGGGGGGGTGGGGAGGTGGGTAGGGCAGCAAAAGCAAAAAAACATAGAAGACAATATGGCAATTCAAAGCAAACATCTGTCAAAAAAACAATCTATAGGTGAAGCTAAAGCTATCACATCACAAGAACATCCACAAACCACGGAACCACGGTGGGAGGCCGGATTCCGAGAATCATCGATAATCATCGATATCATGGTGGCTGAACGTGTGGTTGGCCAGAGCTGGAGGCAGTTGACCAATGCCGTGACGCACTTTCCGAGGTGGCCGCGTGGCTCCTGAGGTCAGAGATCTACGCGAAGCGCTGAACAATCGGAGCGGATGCGGCGGATGCGGCCGATGATCTAAACTGGGCCAGGGCAAAGTCCAAAGTCATTGGAATATTTGGAATGGAGAATGATCAGAGACGAGTGACATGAGTGACATGAGCTATAAAGTCTATAAATGATGTGTCTCCTGCCCATCACGATGCATTTTCACAAGATTAACAAACAATTGTAGGCAGGGTCTTATGAAACTTACTGACCGCGTTAATATAGCAAGTGCGGGCAATAGAGGACTTGACCAGTCACCTCAATTTCACTTGCACTGCCCGGTGTGCATCGCAGCCACTAGTGTCCTTCCAAATGGTATTTGTGTATAGCCTGTATAGCATTCAAACAGCGCCACTTCAGGTCTAAGTTGCAGTTGGAACAGTGGCACTTTCACTTTGACATGATATGTGATATATGGCATTTCAGGAGCAACACGTGCTTCAGTGGATTCAGTCTGTGGCTGTCATTCTACCCACACCGAATCATCGTTAGTCGTTGCCCAGAATCGTTTGCAGTGACCTGACCGCTCATAACATGTGATGATTGGAGACTGGCCATGTGCTGATTTACATTTTAGGGGTACATTCAGATATATATTCAGATAACATTCAGTTATTCAGATTTGATACTCCAGTAGTTTACCACTGGCATTGGTCCATGTTTGTGGTGCGGGGCATTCCCTTGGCATTTACCTTCGTGATAGCGAGTGGTGAGCTACCTGACAGCTCGGATGCGATTCAATGGCTGAAGGAATCTTGTTGAATGATTATCAGTATCAGTGTGGAATCCAAGATGTTTTGGGCAACATAAAGTTCATGAGGCTGGCTGAATTTGCCAAGTGAACTGGGTGATTTTGGGTGATTTTTGATTGCCACCTTCCATGAAAGTGGATGGGTTAGCAACAAAAATCATTCGAAGTGTTGGAAGGTGATTTTTGGGTGTTTCTATTTTTTTGATGGTCCACCTCCCAAGGATTGTCAAGGAAGTTTCTCGAAGAAATTGCAGATTGGTGCATCGCATGGACGGGGCATTTTCGCCGCCGAAACCATTTCGCCACAGCTATTGATCTCGGTGCCATCCAGGCACGATTCTGTTTTTCAAAGCATGCAACATGTTGAAACAAAATATTTTTTACTGCACTAGACTATAAGCACTTTATAAGTACACATAAGTACATCATACATTTTTGGTTCCTTCCGATAGTCATTGATTAGTCATTTTTTTTGGTGCTGTGCTGTTCTGAGGTGCATTCTGTTTGATGAGACCATCGAACATGAGTCAGAGGAAGTGTCAGATGTTGCGCGGTACTTGCGCGGAAACGAGACGGCGAAGAAGTTGTCCAACAAACTTCTGCTGACAGCCTTCATCATGCAGCAGCTCGTCTTAACGAAACCATCCACGCGATTTGCACCTTACCTGCTGGATCTACGCAAGAGTTTTCCAGCAACCGTCCCGGAGATCCCACTCTTTTGGACCAAAGAAGACAAAGCGGAATTGAAAGGCCGTCTGGGAACACGGGGAACACACCTGACATCACCTGACATAGCTTCAATTCCAAAATCGTGAGGTTTCACCGTTTTACCTCGTGTGTCATTTCAAATCACACAGCAAAGTTGTAAGATGTTTTTCAATGTTTTTCATACCATACGGTACCTATGTGTTGGCTGCCAAACAATGTGAGGCACTTCCGCATTAACAGAGCTTCCCAAGATGTTTCGAGCCATTGGCCAAGAGAGACTCAGCTGGCCAATAGCAGTTGCAGGAGTATGCACAGAGCATAGGAGCTTTGCCCAACCATTCTTCCATTTGCCCAATGCTTGGCATAAACGCCCCAGGTATGAAGTGTTGAAATCAGCATCGCCAGCTTTGGCAGCTAAGCATGGACTAGCAGAATTTCAGGTCCGATGGGTTTTGATGTTCTTGTTGCATGTTGAGTTTCAGTTTCTTCAATGCTGTTGAGGTTTAGCAGCACGGAGGGGGGCAGGGCAGTCCAAAAATTGCACGCTACTGCAAAGATGGGAAAGGATACTGCTGCATGTAGATGAGTGTCTCTGGTAATTGTCACCCAGATTTCAGGCTGACCCAAACCCGACAGCATTTCAGTTCACTTTTTGAATTTGTCGTCTACTGAGCACTCTACTGACACTTTTTGTTGCGAAGACTGAAGGCCTCAAGTATCCTCAAGTGCTGGAAGTGTAGAAAAGTATGCTACAAGGGTAAGTTATGATATACATCAGCCTTTATCATCCTTTATCAATTGTATGCCAAGCTGGCCTGTTCAAATCTGTTCAAGACTTCTATGCCAGGCTGCCTATGCTTTCGTTGCGACTCGCACCTTTACTTTGCAAACGGATCCTCCAGTGGCAGCTCTGTATCCGATGATTGATTTGGTGAATCATGGCGTCAACATGCCCGAAGTCGGGAAACACCAGGAACAGAAACCAAATGCCGACGCAAACATGGATAGCATGGCAATGCATGGCAATCCATGGCACATATCATGACATGATATGCCACGCAAGAGGTATAGATGAGACATATTGAGACATGCCTGAAAGTGACAACTAGTAACTAGTGACAGCATTTGAACTGTGCCAGGATATTTCAGCCATGGAGACTGGTAGTGCTATGGTGGAAATTCAGCAAAACACTGGTGACTTCAATGCCCTGTTGAAGTCGCAACAAACCATCGCAAAGGGCGAGGAAGTGAGCATCACTTACGGATGCTTGGTAGTGCTTTGCAAATTGACTTACACAGTTGGTTTCTGTTGCTTTGCGGCACAACATGTCCAACATGTCACAACTTCTGTTGCAAATGTAGGTAAATCTCACAACAGACCAAGAAACTGTTTTGTGGACATGTTAGGTCATGATTCATGAACTTGCTGGTTGTGTTTAAAGATGTATATTGAAGGTTTTCAGGTTTTGTGGCCAAATTGACAATTCTTCACAGGACTGTTCAGCAACACGCACTTGCTACTGAAGTATGGCTTCGTGAGCCCCTGGCTCCACAATTCCACTTGTTTGACGAAGATCAAATTGGAATTTCAAGCAGTGGATCATTTTCGGATTTTTCGGGATCCCAATGATCCGAATCCCTTGGGCAAAGCCATCGGCAAAAACATTGTCTTTACTCTGGATGCGTGCCCGGGTGAAGGCATGCGGATCACGGACGGGATAAATGTGGGGTTTGAAAGTATGTTGCAACACTTAAGTAACTGTTGGCCACACTGGTGAATGGTGCTTTTCGCAATCTTTCTTGGTTTCGAATTTTCAATTTGGCCACCGGTGTCCGTTGCTGTGCTTTGTTTTCATTAGAATGAGAAGATTTGAGAAGCTGCTTTGGGACATCCGGTGTTTGTCAGGCACCTGGCTGAAGGCGCTCAGCTTTGCGCGTATTTGGCGCAGTCGCCATGCGGAGCGTTGCATGGATCCCAGCGACGTATGGACAGAACCTTTTCCCCACAGCTGTTGTAAACTTTACTACTGACTAGATGTACTTGACAGTCTATATAGCCAAAGATGCTAATATTTGCAGTATTTGTTTTTTGCTTAAGTGTAATTGCAGAGAAGAATCAGCCAAATATGTTTAACTTTTTGGATTCTCCAAAATATTCCCAATCTATTTCGTATGTTCCTAAATATTCCTGGCGCTCTAAGAGTAGCATCAGCCCATCACCTGGTTGCCGTACGTTGTCGTATATGACCTACAGACCTCGGTGACCGATGTCAAGGAATGGCATTTGGACATCGAGTGCGAATGGCTGCTGCCGGAAGAAGAGATGGCTGCCCTGGAAGATCTCAGTGCAGCACTGGCGCAGGCGTGGTCACGCTATCCAGGAGGCTCCCTGGAAGAAGAGGACAGGAGCTGCACGGCACAGGGCAAACTTTGGACTTAGATATGTTGGATTATGTTGGTCATTTTGGATTGAGGCTTGCCACGGATTGTTTTGGTTTGAACGAGAGTGCTCACATGTTCAACAAGACTTTCTGGGCGCTTGAATATCGAATTGTGCTTCTGATCCTTGAGGAAAAACTTCTTCAAAAGCGTTTGACCAGCAAAAGACGTACGGCGATCGTTGTGCGCAGAGCCACTTGACATTGTGGTCAAACATCGTGTTGCAAATGACAATTGAGAGTTGCTGGTTTGTGTTTTTCTTCTTGCTTTTTCATGAAAGATGCGACGTGGATAATCAAGATGTACAATATGTAGAGATATGTAGAGCTGCTTGGGTTGTCACGATTTTTGGATGGAGCCTTTTCATCCGCATTTGCAAGATTTGCAAGAAGCATCGATTCACGTGGTGCTGATGTTTGCTGAACTTGGATCCTTTGCCATCCTTTGCCTAGGATGAGAAGTACACCCTGTGGAAACTGCAACGCTTCATTGATGATGCCAAAAGCCGTCTGGAACGCCTCAAACGAGACACTTCCAACGATCGAAGCTGGCGCCAGTACATGTTTGCGATGTCGGTCCCAAGAGATGAATTGTAGAATAGCAAAATATAGCAATTGCAATAGCAAGCTATAGAATGATATAGAAAGATAGATTTGTATAGATTTGCTAGGCCACGAGAACCTGCCGTTTGGCCCTGTCGCAGTGCTCGGCCATCTTTGGGATGGTTAGCCCACAGCTGCCAGGGTTGGCCAGAGCCATCCAGAGCCAAAAACGGATGAGACTGCGGAGCAGGTAGCCAAGCAGAATCAAGCAGATGCCCGCAACTCAGAAAGAGAACAACGGAGGCGTCCGAGACAGAAAGAAGGACAAAGCCAAGGAGAAGGCTGCCGAGAAGGTGGCAGAAGCAGATGAAGATGAAGGAAGATGAAGGAAGGCAGACATAGAGAGAAGGCACTGGGACGATCTTAGGATAGGACGAGTGTGCAGATGTGTGTCGTTGCAGCTCTCCAGAGGATTCCAGAGGGTAGCAGCTATGACTTTCTCAATTAGACATGAGAACTCTGAGAACACACAGAAGTCGAACCGATGACGTGCATTTTGTGGAGATACTCGGTGGCTACGATACTGTGCAAATACTCAATGGCAGCGGCTCAACGTCTTGGGAGCACAGGCCTAGACGGTTCCATGCAGTTCTGAGCCGATTGAAACGCGAAAGGAATAGACTATGAATAACTTGGCATAACTTGGCGCGTCCAAGCGTCCAAGCATCAATGCCTTGCAGAGGACAATGGCAGAGCCCAACCGGTGATCTGGCGATCAACTTGATTTTATTGGCGCCAAAACGCTTCGGGATATCTACAATCAAAACGGATCAAGACGGATCAATGCACCCAATTGCAACCCACATCTTTTAAATCTCCTTGTGGATGCACCCCTCAAGCCGCTGACCCAGACTGAACAGACTGAGCAGACTGAGCAGACCAGCCACGCAGTGCTACAGTTGATGCAGATAGCATGTGCCTGTGGTTTAGTCAATCTTTTGCAGATGGTTCCCGTTGGATTCGAAAAAAAAAACGCGTGGAAAAAAGCGACCACTGTATGGCAAACCCCCGCCATTCGTTCCGCTGCGGCACAGTGAGAGAAGTTACCACATTATGCTGCAAGGATGCGAGATGCATTCTTGAGTAGTCAGGAGTCCGAAAATAGACACTTCATTTACAATCCCACTTTCAGGATCAAATGCAGTCCGCATATTAATGCGCAGTACTCGAAAGCAGCAGAGAGCAGACAACCTCCAAATCTAATGACGACTTTTCAAGCTTGGACCGAGTTTGAGATTCAACCGACCCTTGCGCATACCGTCGGTCTCGGACAGCTCCCGTGATGAATGCGATGGCTGTAAGAATCAGTTGCAGCTGCAAGACATCCACTATAGGCCATCTTAGATGGCAGCCTTGTCCTGGAACTGCAGTGTTCCTCTAGCCAAGAGCAAAAGAAGCCTTGGAGGACTGCGAAGCAGACCTTCGTCTGCCACTTGGGTCAGAATGCGAGGGATGGGGTGGAGGAGGACAAAGCGCTGAAGAAAAGATTGCAAGCGCTCAGGGAAAGCCAGAGCTTTGGCCAAAGGGCTATGCACGTTCTTCCTGTCCAACGATTACAGGCCTTACGTAGGGCAACCAACAAAATGGGCTACGAGAGGACGGCATATTTGGCACTCGCTGCGACAGCTGTCCCAAGCGGGTCGGAGCCTATAAAGGCACAGACATGTGCAAACTGAAGCTGCAGGCCGCTGAGCAAAGAGATTTGAAAAATGTGCCGCACCATGCTGCAAGACCCTGTAAATGATACAATCCTACGTGACGTCCATGTGAATTGCAGAGTCTTTGGTGAAATTATTCAAACATGAGTCAAAGCCAAAGTCATATTTGTCATGTCCATCAGTGAGTCCATTTGCAGGTATGTCACCTACCTGCCAGCTGCAGCACTGGCATACCCAAGGTGCTCGCGCCGCAAGGCTTGGAGATCCCCCATGGAATGGATGGATGTAGCATGACTTAGCATGATGCCCAAGAATAGGTTGGATATGGTTGGATCTGATTGGCATGATGGTAGATGCAGACATATGCAGACTGCACACCCATGAGGTTTGCATGGCAGCTGCGAAGCAAACAGAGGACTGAAAACGGACTTGGATTGAGAAGCTTTATTTTCCTCAATGATTCTACATTTCATTCTGATATAGATGTTTGTTTCCAATATGTTTCAGAGTCATATGTTTCATCCATTTACACATCATGTCCGATGGAACATATGGAACTCTTGCCTGCTGTTTGGTTGCCAGATCCCGGCATCCCGGCACGGGATGATAAGAGGACACCAAAAAATGCACGCCCTGCCGTGCTTCGGCCAGGAAGGTACTTCCATCGTACAGCCGGGCAGTTCATGGAACTCCTTTAGGCCGCAAGATATCGCAAGATGCAGATGGATGCAGATGACCAGTTGACGCACAAGACTTTCGTGGCAGTATTCGATGTTATTCGATGCATCCAGAGAACATCATGAATTGGGCATAGACAATGTCCTGTTTTTAGGATATTGTCCGAAGTTGGCTCCTGAGCTCATAGCTTTATACAGCTTTCTCAAATTGAACTGATTCGAATCGATTTGAACTGGTTGAACAAAGTTGATTTCACGTTTTTGCTGTGGCTCTATGTGGCTCTTGCTGCACTTGGAGCGACCAAGGGCATGGGGATGGTACCAGTGAGATCCAAATTGGAGGCGTCTGGAAATGTCTGGAAACTGTTGTCATTTTGGTGGATATTGAAGGACGGCAAGTAGCGTTGCGGCTCAATACCGCGGATACAAGTTTTGGATGTGAAAAGGGACCAGCATCCCGGACGTGGATGAAGAGAACAGTTGAGATGTGTTAATATGGTTAAGCCTTCTTTTCGATGTCATGCCGCTCGTCTACGGACAGGCCTCTTCAGCTTTCAAACAAGCTATGGCTTTGGAGGACCCCCAGTTGTGGAGCGAGTTGTCAGACTTAGCATCTCTAAACTGAAGCAACTATTTCTCATCGCTGCTTGAAGCCGAAGCGGCCTATGTATGCCTATATGTATGCCAATTGAAGCATTTGAAGTGCCGTGCAAGCAGCCAGTGATATCAAAACAGGCCACTCTGCCTTTCATGGAAGCAGTGGTAGACTCAGTCATTTTTTCTTATGAGAATTTTTGAGACCTGAGAGCCTGAGAGCAGACCATCACCAATCTTGAGGCTGTAACTGGCCTTTGCGCTTCCTACCCACCTGGTTGCGTCATGGCGCTGTGCGCTGCTGTTGGGGTCTTGTCTGGAGTTTCTCTTGGCGCATGGAATTCCTGCCTTTTTCTTGAATCTTGTTTTGGTATGTTTGCTCAATCTATTGTCTATACTGATTATATACTGATTGTATACTGATTATATATTATATTATATACTTTATTCTTTCACAAAATTACCGTAACATAGCACAAGTGGTCACTTAAATGTCGTCACGGCTCTACATGGCTCTTTGGATAAGATTCAGTGAGGTCCGACATCGTTGGCTTCAGCTTCCCAAAGAGGAGCAGCGGTCCTTGTTGCTGACACTGCGGCAGCTACGGTACCTGGAAGCCAGCATGCCGGAAGCTTAGCTGGAAAGGAAAAGCTTGGACAATGAGAAGAGTTGGAGATTTTGGGGAGAAACACTGAGAAATCTCGCTTGGAACAAAGCATTTACACAGATATCAGATGATATCAGATGATATCAGATGATTGAGATAAACAAATTGTCGCAGTTGTCGCATGTTCAATTTGAGGCCAGCTCTGGTGGCTGGTGCCCTGTCGGTTGGTAGTGGTCCAGCGTCCATCTCAGCGAGACCACCCAGTTTGGGTTGGAATAAACTTCGAATTGGCAAATGGCGCCAGTTTACTAAGTTTACTTGTGTTGCAAGTCAAGACTAATTATAGTTATCACTGTTATCACTGTTATCACTGTTATCACTGTTATCACTGTTATCACTGTTATCACTTATCAAACTTCAGACTAAGTATTTATAAGTCACAATAGTCTGCCATAAGTGGACATATTTAATCATATTTACAGATTTCAGTTGCCAACCATTGTGGGGTTCATCGATTTTCTTTCAGGTCTTGGGGGCAGCAGGGCTTGAACGAAAACAAGTGGAGGCCTATGCGAGTGACCGCGAGCTATGCAAATACGTTTGGCAAATATCGACTGCGAAAAATAACGAAAACGTTTGGCAACTTTCCGACCGAAACTTGGCGCCATTCTCCACCTTTCCGTTTGCTTTCCGTTTGCTTTGATTGTTGATGTGGTTTTGTCGCAGTCTTTTTTGATCGGATACGTTGAAACAAAAGCACAAGATTCGTGTGGAGTCTGTCCCATCGACAGGCAGCCTTCGGCCAGGGAGTTGTGTGAGCCTTAATAAGTCACTGCAGTTCTTGTGTGACAGATTTGTGCAGATTCCTCACAGACCTGAATGTTAACAATGACTTTTTTACGACATCACGATGTTCAAATGCATTCTGCTGTGATTTGCTCTGAAACTGAGCCTGAAGGAAACAAACACCATTTCGCTTCTATATGTTTATCAGATGCTAACCGCTAACCCACCGAAGGGCGCGATGACATTTCAAGATGTTTTACTATTGCACACTCAGCGTACATTTTCAAGTCTTACGAATGTAATCCACACTGAAGAGGTTGTCAACGTGCTGGCTAGGCCACCCTGTTGGTTGAGTTGCAACAGTTTGCCATGAGCTCAGCAAACTTTGGCAGGTTTTTTGCCTTTGTCAATTAATGAACCCTCTTGGACACACCTCCACATGAACTGTTTGACACTGTTTGTCATCTTCAGTTATTCAGTTAGCATCAAATTCTTGTGTTTTCCTTTCCAATCGTTCAATATTTCTGCATGTTCGGCGGACACGCATTTTTTGTCCAGAAACGATTGGCTTCAGGTCGCAATTGAACGCACCTTGCGGAGCTCGGGGGATCTATCCCCTGGCAAGGCAATACGAGGGTGTGAAGATGCTAAAATTGTTAAAGAGAGTTCCTTTCTTGGCATCCTCTACATCATTCTAGTCTATATACATCAAATTTATGAACATTTATCATAGATTTACGTTACATTTATGACATTTATCAATATTTATCATAGATTTTATGATCCGAACATCTTTGTTGACCCAAGATCTTCGGAAAAGCTCCAGGTTGACCTGGCCATGTCGTTGTTCACGGCCCAGCAGTCGCAAAGCCGGTCGACGGAATCTCTGATCGTGTTCCTGGCCAATAAGGTGGGGATCGAAGCCATGGGTCCCACTGGGTTTTTGGAGGGTCCAGGGTCAATGGGATACTCATCCCACTTTTTAAAAACAATGGGATTAGGATATATATGATATGTTCAATCATGTTCAATCAAAACAATGGGATAACTTGGATAACGGATTATGATCGGTTTTTATAGAGGATTCAATGCGATTTAATGTAACGACACAACGATTGCAATGGATTCCTTCAGCGGTCAGTTCGTCTGCTTTGGCAGGCTGCGGAGCTTCGATTATTTTCAATGCGAGGACCTTTCGCCACGATCCACCAGTTGTCCAAGTAGCAACCACCATGAAACAAGTATGATTAGTAGTATAATGGTATAGCCTAGGCTTGGCTTTCATGAACTATCCACAATCTCGCCAGATTAGAGACGGGCATTTGACTATTGGCAGTTTGTTTGATCTGCATGTGTGTAAGCCTAAGCTCAAAACCCACATAAAAGTTGAAGTTGAACCACACGCGCTATTTAGTTGTGGCCATGAGTATAAGTAGAACCCTCCAAACTCGCGTTTCAGGAAAGCAATCGGAGACCTTTTGGGCCTCTGCAATTGTAACGTTGCAGTTTTGAGGAGCGCAAGCGCAGAAAGAACGGGTTCATCGAGCTATGTTGGGTTGGTGCCTGAGTCTGACTCGGTTGAAGTCACAGAATGTCACAGACTATCGCAGTTCCTTGAGAACAGAAACATCAGAAATCATCAGAATAGTAGCATGGAAAAGATTGGTATAGCCGGTATAGCATGTTCAGCAGCTGGCCATGACAGGCAGAGATGGTGTAGAATGGAAGGAATTCATCCAGAGAGTTTGATTTGAATGAATTGACAGGTCAATTTGAAAAGTCTTTCAGGTTTCTTTTGAGAACTCAGAACCCAAAAAGGTTTTTCAAAAAGGATGAAAAGTTTGGAGATATTTGGAGTAGCCTTGGAGCCATCGATGGTTTCAAGGCACGGACGTTTATGCCGCGCTGGCAAACTTGTTGGGTTTGGGAAGGACCTGCGGCATTTGGGAAAGGTATGGAAAGGTCTTGGAAAGCCAGAAACAATAAACTAATTAGTAACGAACAGTCCCTGAGACCTGTGCATGTGTGATCAACGTGCAGAATTGCTTCCATTTGCATATTTCGGGCATTTTCGGGCTTGCAAAGTGCAGATTCTTGATGAGTCAGGATCAATGAATCAATGACCCCAGGTCATAGAGGTAATGCATAGCGTCATGCCCGTGAAGAGACTTACTCGAAATCGCAGCTGTCTTCAGTTCTACATGCAGAAAATGCAGACTGAAAAATCTGAAAATAACATAAAATCGCTGAAATTCAGATTTACAGTGACTCAAGGGTCCCACGACATGATAACCGGTGAGCCGGACTGATGCAAACCGAGTATCGCTTCAAAGATCCATGAACTCAGGGACTTGTAAAAAGGCGGTCACATGGAGAGAGATGGAGAGAGGAAACAGTTTCGCTGGCATTCGCTGGCCCCAGAATCCAAAACATCCCAAAAAATCCATAAAGATAATCTAAGGAATCTAAGCAGTTTGGAAACCGTTGGAAACTAAACGCCTTCGATTCCTGGCAGCCAGAATAAGTAGAATTCACACCTGCATTTGGGTCTTTTTTGCCCCCCCCCCCTTTGGGCTTCGATGCTTGAGATTGCCTTCCAAGTACCATGGCCTTGGCCCGATTTCGACAGCTCTGTCGGTAAACAATCCACGAAACGAGAGCCATTTGTTGAGAAACTTTGACTGTTCATGACTGTTCAATTTGCTCATTGTACGAAACAAGTGGGCGCTGTGCTTGAGGCTGTATGGGACAATCGGTCTTTTTGTCCTGGTTGCGTGCAAGCCTCACATTCTGCAAGGCATTGTGCCAGTTGGCCAATGTACATTCTGCCCACATGTTGAACTTCATGCAGAAATATGCAGAATTAGTTCAAAGTGTTCAACATGGCCGAGGGGGCTTCTCTTTGTGGGCATGAAGTTCATTGGACGCTGGATCTCTGATCAACAACTAGCTCGTGTGCTTAGCTCAGCACTTGCACAGCTGTGCTTCAGACGTGTAGATATTGCAGCAGACTGAGGCCATTCAACTGAGAATAGATGAGAATAGCTTAGACGTGCAACTAGAGATACTCACTTAAGTGTGCATAAAGTGCAAAAAGTGAAAACACAGACTGGTTATTATCATATTATGACGATTTATGACTCAATGAGTATACACTCGTATACATACATGGCTGTTTTCACACTGTTTATCACATTTGTATCTCAGGTACATCCGCCAAATGCAAGAAAGCTGTCCAACGAAGATTTCGAGGCACAGCCCACGAATTTCTCAACAACATTGCAAAGATATTTCGAACAACTACGTATATTAATATAATATAAATTGGGTCCTGATTACGCCGGTGGTGCTGTTTGCAGCTGAGACTGGAATTTGATGGTCGCGGTGTGAGCCTCTGCCATGTTGAACAGTAAACAGAATGTAAACAGAATGTGGTGAACACCCAAAGGTGGTCCAATGTGTTGAACATTTCTCCGGTTGGACAGGCGCTGTGTTGCCGAACTGGCCTTTCAAGATCTGAGATCTCCAGATTGCGACCTGGATCGATGATCGAAGTAGGTCCGGTAGTCTGAGCAGTGAATATCATGCGCCATGGCTTTGCCATCTTTTTGCCATATTTTGCAATCTTTTTGCCATATTTTGCCATGGTTTCCAGATGTTTCCAGTCCCAATCCCATCAATCCCATCAATCCCATCAATCCCCTGCTTCAAGGTACATGAGCTTCATGAAGATCACAGATGGCAACTCACATGAAGAGGCCGCACAGACCCTAGCTGCTATAGCTGAAGTGGTTGAAACTAGGTGAAACATGGTGAAACATGTTGAACCATCAAAATTTCAACCCATTTCAGACCTGTTGGATGGGAAATTCTGAGGAAAAAATCATCCAGGAAGTGCCCTACTTCCAGGGGCCGCTACAAGACCGGATGCTGTCGGCCCTGTTCCTTGACGAATTTGAGGCATTTTTGTTCAATAAAGTTTAAATGAGGCATCACCAGAATCAACAAGTGGAAGTATACCAACGAAAGTCATGGGAGATTCGTGATTCCCAATTTGACTTCAAGGAAATTGCCAGAGCAGATCGACTTTGCAACTTTGCTGCAGTAGTTTACGAACTGATTCTGTATTCCGTTTGCATTCAGTTTGCTCTGGCGAAAGTTGATGTTGTCAAACTTCCTGACTGTTGAATGCGGGATGCACAGCAGATGAGGTCATCTTGGCTTCTGCCCTAAGCCTCTTGGCTACAGCAGCCATGGAGGAGTCAAAGCATGTTTGCATTGCCTGTACATTGATATATATTGATATATATTGATATATATTGATATATATTGATATACATGGCAACATGATGGCATTGTGATGGCACCGTGATGGGCATGTGGCCTTTAGTTGGCCTTTTTAAAACAAGGTGTATTCAGCGAACGAGCTGCACTGGATGATAAGATGAGTGACTTGGCCGCAGTTGCCATGCCATATCTACAGTGAAAGGCACATCATAGCGTCCTTTGAAACGGGTTGAAACGGGTTGAAACGGGTTGAAACGTGTGCCATGCCAAGATATGCCAAGATATGCCTTAATATGCCTTAAGATATGCCAAGTGCACCAAGGATTCCTCTTCCGTTTGTATAGTTCGGACGTGACTGGCACAGTCTCCAAGCAGGATCCGGCATGAGACCATTGGGACCATAGGACCATCCATCCCTGCTATGCGCCAGGATTTGACCAATCTGATGGACGACGTGCTGCCAGAGCTCCTTGGACTTCAAACACAGAAATCAAGTGTGAATGAATGTGTTGTGTTTTTTTTTTTATTTCTATGTTTTCTGATGATTTCTGTCCATTGTGATGGCGTCTGGGAATTGAAGAATGAGACTTGAGCTTCAATGATTATCATGCTGAGGTTTCCAGATGATGATGAGAGAAATAGGCTGTGATTTCTGATATTTCTGCAGCTGATTCGAAGGGATTCGCAGGGATCGTCGTTCCGCCAGATCCACCAGGCTGATTGATCGTGCTGTTCAAGGTACCTTTGAGGAGTCACCTAGCAGCATACAGTTCCAATATGTTCCAATACTTGAACCACCTATGAACGACCTCAATTGATAGCAATTTTGCATGAATATCGTCGAAAGCGATCGGTGTCTAAAAGAATGGCTTTTGAGGGAAAGGACTGGATAACCACACAAGTCAATTTCTTCCAATAGTTACAAACAAGGGGTTGAAGCGGTACGGAGAAGGCAGGAAAGACAAAGAAGACTTTTAAGAGTTGTGTTCAAGAGTTGTGTATGACAGAGGGCGGCGGGCGGACGGGAGTGCACAACAGAAAAACAAGAACCCCATGCAAAGATGTGGGGAATAACGAGCACTAAAATCACTCAACATGTATACATCTGATGCCCATGGAGATCGGATGAGATCGGCATGTTTTAACATTTTGACATGCTCGCGATACTTGAAGTGCCAACTTAGGCTGTGTGGTAGCAGTGAAGACCAGGACTGAAACGCTGGAAATTGGAACTGGAACAGGGTGGATCTGAAGCGAACGGTTTTTGGGGTAGAATTGCGGTGCTGGGAAACAGAGAGCCATTTGAAGTGCCACATAGTGCCACAATGCCATTGCTTGAAAGGTATTCTGGAGATT